CATTAAAAGTCACCCAAGTTTCTTCCTTTAAGTATGAACTGGTGTAGAGTGGAGGTTCCCACTCATACCATAAAGTTTCTTGTAGTATAAGGTAGGAATGGTGTAGAGTGGAGGTTCCCACTCATACCAATAAACAGTTAAATATAGTTGCCTGCTAATCTAATTTCTTGTCCAGCAGTCCTTACGCATTTGAATTTTTAATTTCTTTAACCAAACTTTAGATAAGAGCCTATCTGGATGTATACCGTCTCTATAGAGGTCTAAATTATATTGGAATCTTGGTGATGAGCTTGTGTTGCGACAAGTTAGTCTGCTTGGGTTGTGTAGTATGTCCAAGTTGAAATTTGGTGTAACGGAGTTAATTGAAGTATTTAGCTCTTTAATTTCGAAGTTAAGTTTATCAATTTGATGCCTAAGATCAATGTCCTGATCGTTGAAAGTTGCTGGGTCTTTGTGTTTTTTATATTGGTTCCAAAGTGAGATACTATAGATAGGAATACTCAGGAAGGTGACTCTAGATGTAGTATATGAAGAGAGTATTTTAACTGTAGTATATGAAGAGAGTATTTTAACTATCTATATTGGTCAACAATGTTTTCAACAGCGGTATTGTCTGAAGAAGTAAGAGAGATCCTGCCCTTGTTGTCTGTTATGGACGTTAGGTCACAAGTACCTAGCCAGATATATATATGGATGGGGCCAAGATGTTGAATTTTCTCTTCTATATTGTTACGCAGCCAGGCAACCCTTTCTGCTGATCTCGCTCCTCTCTTTACCCACCACCTTATGTGGTCTATTGCAGATGAGTCAGACTGGTTTTGAAGGTAAATGCCTTTGCTGTCTGATAATACCACTGGGGTACGGAATTTTACCCCCCACTCTGGACTCACTGACTTCCTTAAATATTTTCTGAGCTTATTCTCGGTCATCAATAATATTGATGAAGTTATTTAAGCAAGTATATATAGATGTAGGCGGCTATACAAAGCAACAGTGAGGCGGACAATATTTAGTCTCGGTGAGAATACAGTCAGTCAAATGTTAAAAATATGTGTTAAAATGCACACGCAGATATATTTCAAGCAAAATGAATGATGATTATAGCTGTATATGGTATCGATGGCTAATGATGGCTATACATTTTAGATATTTTTCAATATTGGTTGCAACACTCAGTCAAAGCGCGCGAAAAGCCGATGCGTTAAAATTGCATCTGTTATATTTAACGACAAACGATCAATGTCTATTTACAGCAATACTAAATTATCAATATTTCAATGTTATACGAGAAAACACAATTCAATATATATAGGTAAATCGTTTTCTTCTGTGACAGTCAAAATCCACAACCATTCCCTTCACCGGATATGTACATTATGCATACAACTCAATAAGAGCCAATCAGACGTTAAGATATCCTTCACTTCCCCCAGAAGCAGCCCGGAAGCAGCTGAGATGCAGCCATTTAATGTTATTTATAACCAATGAGATACCGTTAACAGATTTACCACATTCCAGACGTCCAGCCTCTGACTAATCAGACCGTATCACCTTACCGTATCACCATGGTGATACGGTAATCACATATACATAGTAAAGGGCTCTGGAAACTAGGCCATCTCTGTCAATTTTGATTGGTCTTTAAAACCGGAAGTTCCCACGGCAATAATATAGAAGATGGCGCAAAAACAAATAGGAATGTACAACTGTCGAAGAAAAAAGGGAGATATGGGCTTATCAAAGATAACCCTTGGTGGGAACGTACCCTGGTTACAATATAGACCCTTAACGTGATCGAATAAAACAGGTGAAGAAATGGGACAAGCGATATACAGGTCAAACTAAAGCTGGGAACATGTCAAGGTACCCCCCTGGTCAAACAGTGAGAACGAACCCTGTCCTAACTATATTTCCCATAAACAATAATATAAGGGAGCTACCATTTGATTTTTATGGGGGGGCTAGGATGAAAAATTTTGTCCTGCCTTTTTATTTTTCCCTTTATTCGGTCCTGCCTTTTTATTTTTCACTCTATTCGGTCCTGCCTTTTTTTTTAGTTTATCCTGACTTTTTTTTTTACATAAATTGTCATCCTGCCTTTTTTTTTTGCAAATAATCTCATCCTGCCTTTTTTTTTACTCAAAACTCCTGTCCTGCCTATTTTTTCAAATTTCATCCTAGCCCCCCCCCCCATAAAAATCAAATGGTAACTCCCTAAACCAAACATTACAATATTATACGGCCGCGATACCTGAAATATAAAGTGTTAATCTCCACAGTTCTTCCGTTCATAATATAAACAACAGTGCAGCTCAGAGTAGCGGAACACGAAATTAAAGTGAAAGTAGAAATGAAATCTCTGAGCAACACAAGAAAAGAATAAAACATGATACATATAAACCTATCATCCTTATCCCCTACCCTTAGGCATAACAATATAATATCATTATAATATTATTTTTACAAATATAACAAACAATACAGTTTACATAGTTACAAACACAAATAAGAAACAACAGTTTTCACATACTCGTATATAAATAGGAGTATATATAAAACCTTCGTATCAGGCACACCTCTAGAAAGTAACAAAAAAGAATTCTGTGAGTAGGCTAAATATATCTAGCTTAACTGCAGGAGGCACCAAGGGACGGTGCTATATGGCATGGTGTGTACATATTAAAATGTGTATCGGGACATTAACATGATTAATGATATGGTAAGATATTGTAAGAAGTTGCACATAACTGGTATGTCATCCTCGTGCCTGGAGCAGAGGAGTCAGTACTATTTAAAGTGACACAACTGCAAGAGGCACCAAGGGACAACATGTATATGCAACATTCGTTCTTATTTTTTTTTGTTAATTGAAATTTTTTTGTCCATACAACCAAACTGCGGTCTTTGTCGTAGCTTATGCGAATAGCACATGTACAAAAGTGTAACATTGACATATATGATATATACACAGAAATGTATGAAAAAATAATTATGCTTTAATAACTGCCAAGAAAACAAGCTGTCATGCTACTGGTGCCCAGAAATTTATTCCTCTTCCGATTTGAATTTAATCTTCATTGAACAATGGTATATGAACACATTTCTTATCTTTAAATATAGATTCTACCACTGCATCGAGTGTGATACGATATTTATCCACTCGAGACAGTTAAATTTTCAAATTTAAAACGCGAGGCTCGTCGAGCGTTTTAAATATTTAGAATTTAACTGCCGAGAGTGGATAAATATCCGATTCGTATTACACGAGATTTGGTGGTGGAATCTGTTTCTCTAATGATTTTCAAACAATACGCAGGCAAATTTGTTCCTCCTTTTCGAATGATCTGCAAAAAGATGTGTTCTTTCTATGTGACGTCATCAGGCATGGTTGCCTTTTTTCATGCCGTCACAATAGGAAATTCAGAGGAAAGCAAGAAAATTGGACGTCATAATCGGATTTTAACCAATGAAGAACTGAGATCAAACGAACCACACGTTGATTAAATTTTTTTTTTCCAATGGGTGCAGAAAGGGATAAATTGACGAAGAATTAGAGAAAATGAATTATAGTCTTTTAGATCTTATTAAAAAAAAGTAGTTTCTCTTATATTTAATTGTGGTGTTTTGATCTTTGACTTTCTATCTGTTTTATACCAAAGGTCGACTTTCTGACATTTTGGTGCAATATATGTTTCTTTGCTCTTGAGGTCAAATATATATATCAATATCGATATGTCGATTGAAATTTTCAAAATATCCATAATTATTGGCATTGAGTTTATACTTTGCTTTTTTTTTCATATTTAACTGTGTTTTTTTTTTTGTAAATACTGGTAGATTCTTTTTAATCTCTATCTTCATCTGGCGTATTAAATAAACTGTATAAGCATATTGAAAATAACTAAAATAAGGAGACCCCAACGGTGACTGGATAACAGAAATATAGTCACGGTATAAATTCGCAGCCACATCCAATCAGAATGGGGACGTTAAATCCAGTGCATTGTTTAAAGAGCGAGTCGGCACGTTAGGAACACTTGCAACAAATTTTTGAGGGATCCATTGGTGGCGTTTAAAATTACAGTCCCTATCCAACTTACTGACCTCATTTCCATGTAGTGGCATTCCAAAATTCCCTTTATCCCCTCGATCCCCATTACAGGACCTACCAATTGTATGTATTGTTTATTTCTTCTCGTCCTGAACATGCATGAAATATTTGCCACTGGACATGAATGAAACCAACAATCAATCGTTAACTTGAAAGAAATCTAAGTATTTACCCAAATATAGTTCCTAAAATATAATAATTTATGGAATGGAGTTCTGTTGCATACAGATGATACATGTATTAATGAGGTGGTGTTGTATCTAGGTCAGATGAAAAAACTCAACAGTTTCAAGAACTTGTAGCATTGAAAAAATCGTTTTATTTAATGATATTGACAGTATGATTATAATTGTTGATTTTGAGATTCTTTGAAGCTATTATGTTGGGATGAAAAAGATGTATTTGCTGATGGAACATTCAACTCAAGAGGTGTCGTCACTTGCATTCTTCATTTCAATTTCTTGTACTATGTTTAACATACAGGTTATTCTCATTGTTGAATGTAGTAGGGTAACCTATAGCTACTTACATCCAAGTCATTTTGACTCTGGTGGATAGTGATCTGATTGACAATCATACCACATCAAAGGAAAAACCAAAAAAGAGGGGGAAAATCCAAACGAAAACAATATTTTTGTCATATTAGGAATACCCCACTCCGAGGATTGAACAAAATATTTTAATAATTACACTAAAAAATAACAAAAAAATACCACTTTTGGTAATAGATTTAAATGACTATAAGTTCCAAACTTGTTTGCTTTATGAAAGATATTACTACAGAAAACTTGTAGTAAAACGACAGCCTCATATCATTAAATTCATGCTAGTAGAAAAAAAAACTCGTTCTATCTATTTTTCTTATTTCACGAAACATTTTATTTTTAAGCACCCAAGGAAAAGTTAATTGCACAATCAAACGATGATGTTTCGATTATTGGTGTTTGTTTTCCTGATAACGGTCACGTATTACAAGGTTGAAGCGAGTCCTAGACATCCACATGCTGATTATGGTAAGTAATTGTATTCTACAAAGAAAGCTTTCCATGAATTAAATAAATGTATAATGGTGGTCAATTTGTTTTCGAGTTAACAAAATTTTGATAAACTTTAATAACACAACTTTCGGATGTTGACTTTTCTTCGGTCAAAGAGTTTCAAAAGAACTTACAAATGTATCGATAAGACGAATGGCAAATACAAGTTAGTGGTATAACAAAACCTTGTTGAATGAAATCACCTCTTTCTGTATAAATTGTCGTTTCTGATAGCTTGTTTTTTTTCTTTCTCTTAAATAATATTATAATAAAATTATTGTTATTCAAAATAAATTACTATTAATTTATTTATCTCATGTTTCGTTTAAGCCAAAGCGACAAAGAGATGAAACTTTATGTATTATATTTAATCTTCGGATTGCTAGTATAATACAAGCAAATACGAGCAATAGCTTTTCTAAAAAGTTTGACGTTTTCATTATGAATCATAGCAGATGATATTGAAAGCTATATTTTTGCATTGTGGTTTCATCCATTCAGAATAGTCCTATAATATAAAAATAAGAAGATTTGGTATAATTGCCAACGAGAAAACTCTCCACAAGAGACCAAAATAATGACAAAGAAATTAACAACTATAGGTCACGTACGGCCTTCAACAATGAGCAAAACCCATACTGCATGCTTATAAATTGTAGGAGGGTGGTAAAACCCTGAACAAGAGGAAAGGCCAATACATTTTTAAGGCTAAAATATCTTTTTGGGGGTGATGCGTAAACACTGGTAAGGGGTTAATTTCTCAAACCTTCTTTTGTACCTTTCCCTTATTTCGGTAAAGATGTATAGTTCTTAGACTACTAGTTTTTCTATGGATTTTTAAAATGAAAAATACTGCAACTGGCAAAGGGACATTCAAATTTTAAAGTCGAAAATAAACTGACAACGCCATGGCATGGAAAAAAAAACAAAAAAAGATCAAAGACATACAACAGTATAAAACACAACATAGAAAACTAAAGACTGAGCTTAACGAACCACACCAAAAACTTAGCATTAACTGAACATGGCCATTTTCAAGAATTGACGATACCTGAAGTCCTGTTCCGACGCCTATATGAGCAAATACTGCCCCCCCCCTTTCCCCCCTTACTTACCATTGTAGACGGTGGTCAGAATGTGTAAGTTATTTAACATGTTATGTCATAAATCATATATCATAAATATGTCATTTTAGTCTGTGGAGTAAATGGGTGGAAACATTTTCGTCAAAGCTGTTACTACATTTCGGCTGATGTGAGGAATATTGACGATGCCATGGTATGTCTCGTACGCTTGTAGATTTTCCGTGTGTTATACGATCATGTCCAAATAAATGTATACGATATAAAAATAAGGAGATGAGGTAACTATGATTCCCAATGAGACAACTATCCACCAAAGTTCAAATAAAGTGGATGCAAGCAATTATAGGCAACCGTACGGCCTTCGACAATGAGAAAAACCCATACCGTATAGTCGGCTATAAAAGGCCCCGACATGAAAAATATGAAACAATTCAATTGAGAAAACTAACGGCCTAATTTATAACAAAACAATTTACGAAAAACAAATATGACAGACATGAACCAACGATAACAACTGAACTACTGGCTCCTGACTTGGGACAGGCACATAAAGAATGTGGCGGGGTTAAACATGTTTGTGAGCGCTCAACCCTCCCCTAACCTGGGACAGTGATGTAACAGCACAACATAAGAACAAACTATAAGTTGAAAAAGGCTTAACTCATCAGATCGATAAACAGAAAAAACATCAAACATGAAAACAGACTGGACATGACAGGGCATTTATCCATCCCTCATCCCTAACAACAAAGAGGACACTAAGTATAGATCTGTGAGTACTCGCAGTTACTGACATCTAGTTCAAAGCCAATAACAACTAATAAAAAAATCATGTATCTAAGACTAAATTATCAATCAGTACACATCCAACATCCAACGGATTTAGTGTCAAGACGTCATTAACAGTCAGAGAAAAATATGATCTTGTGCAATGCCAAAATGCCAAATGATCGACAGATTGTAGCACCGTCAAAGTGCATATGTGTATAACAAAACTGTTAGTAGGATTTTAATTTACTGAGTGATAACGAAATCAATATTCATACCAATAAAAACAATATTCAAAGATCTAATTACAGTGTTGAATTGGTAACCTTTTAGAAAAAGTTTATTTAAAGGATTGATAAGTTTACCCGGATCGTATATGAATTTCCGTGCTCGGTAAACAACATCACGGTAAAATTTAGAATGTGCTATTCCGTCTGAAATAAGTTTTTTACAGGTGTCACCAATTACTCCCTCTAATTTTGAACGTATGTAAAAGTAGCCCTACTCTGACACAAAATGGTGCTTTTGATGTCCTTGTTTACTTAAACTAACCAACAAATTTGCAGAAATGAAACTTTCGGTTAAAGAGAAATATATTTAGACCATTTTGAGCAAAAATTTACTTGTCTATGAGTTTGCATTAAAAATTGAGGATTAATGCGCTCCATAGTATACTAATTTAAGATTTCAAGAAAACCAGGGGTTATTTTTGGAGTACCTCTTTTTGAAGGTCAGTTTTTTTCTTAGAAGGCTTAAAAGGTATGTTGAAAATTGGCATGCAGAAAGCTGATACATGTAAAATTCAGGATATACCTGGTTTCTATGAAGTTAAACTTAAGGTAAAATAATTAGAAAGCTGTGAAAATCGCAAAATTTGGTTGAACAGATAGGGATATTTAATTGGTGGTCTGACACCTACAGGTACAGCCAAACTTGCAAACCAAATCTTTGTATCTATGGAAGAATTAAGTAAAAGTTTTAAGTAATTTACACTTACTAGAGGCCAATATGAAACAATATTTTACGTTTTTTTTTGTAGTTTAGGTAACCAATACATACTGATAGTGGGGACCTTCAAATGTTCAGAAGAGGCGTTAAGCTGAGCTGTGAGCCAGTTTTTGAAATAAAAAAAAAATCCAATTAAACGTTCGAAAACTAGGTCTACATTCAATGAATACTTCAGACTTTCTTCAAATATCGATTCAGTTAAAAGATAAACAGATAAATTATGTTCAGGAGTGATATTTTCCAAAAATAGTTGTAGATAGAGGGTGAAAACACTGAAATTTTCTGTCCTGACCGCTTTGCGAAGATAATTTCTTTCCGAAAATACCCAACTAAACTTGATGTATCTACTAAAATACCCTACTGAACTTGATGTATCTACTAAAATACCTCGAATATTAAAAACGATTTTAAGTTTCTTATTCTTTATATATCAAGACGTTAGTTAAACAGCTGCCTTTAATAAAGAGCACAAATGATCTCGAAGCGTCTGCATAAAAGATGAAAAAAAAGCATATATATCTATACTACTAAAATAACGAGGTCCAATTTGTTAGCCGGCATGACGGAAAAACGACGAATCAAAGAATTCATCTTTATATATAACTAATAAGGGACAATGGTGTTGATTAAAAATTACACCATTCCAGGCCCATTAGTTTTCCGCATAATTAATATCACCAATAATTAACAAGTTCCGGGTTCGAATCCGATACCGATACCAATAGTATTTGTCACATGTATGTATGTTCTGTATCTTCCTCCTTTATAAGGAGCACCACTATGGGTTATGGTGTAAAGGATGACATTTTACACGACTGTATCGATACAGATTGAATGTGAGCATTTGCCTACCTATCTTACTACCTGAAAGTTAACCATCTCCAAAACAATAAGTGCAATGCAATAAAACATACATGTAGTTTCCGGTTGTAGTAAAAAAAAAAACAGGACGGGTTCAAACAAAGATTTTGAAAGCAGAGAAAACTGTGCACTTAAAATCAGCATGACTTTATCAAATGACAATACGAATACTAAAAATCCAGGCTAAAATAAGGCGTAAGGAACATTCCAATGTGTTAGCCGACATGATGTAAAAAAACGACGAATCGAAGAATTCAACTTTATATAGAAATTATAACTAATATGGGACATTGATGTTGATTAGGAATTACACCATTCCAGGCCGTTTTGTTTTCCACATAATTAATATTACCAATAATTAACAAGTTCCGGGTTGAAGGATTCAAAAAGAGAGATTTTGAAGCAGAGAAAACTGTGCACCTTATAATCAGCATGACTTTATCAGATGAGAATATGAATGCTAAAAATCCAGGCTAAAAATAAGGCGCAGGTACTTTAATTCAGCCACGGAACGGCGATGTCGCGGGTGTGTTCTAGTATATATACAATATATATGTATATGTATATACAACTTACAAGTCTAAATTGAAAACAACGTTCAAACCTATGATTGCGTTGGATAAAAACCGCAATTTTGATACCTGTGCATTTAAAACAAATTTCTTGGTAGAGGGGTCTAAATACAGCACAAACAACATTTTCCAAAAGACCAAAAAAGTGAAAAGTATATTTTAACAAAACGCATTTGACTAACAGGTCGAACAACTGATGTTCTTAAAACCTGCTGACTGCCATTGACGATTGCCAAATAAATTGATCACGAGATGTAACTTGGATTTTAATTATTAATTTAATACCAAACAGAAAACCATAAACTTGCGGAGAGGATGGTATATCGCAAACATGAGGTGCAAAAATTTGTACACCATATCCGGATATCGACAATTAATGTCTCTTCAGTGATGTTAGGGATCGAAACGGTATTTGGAAGGCCATATAATTGACCTCAATTTAGGATAGACTCTTGAATTTTAAAGAGTCGAAATAGGATGAACGGATCATATAAACCCGAAGGAAAATATAATATAAGCAGTAAACGATAAATATAAACAAGTCTAAATTGAAAACAACGTTCAAACCTAGTATGATTGCGTTGGATAAGAACCGCAATTTTATACGTGTGCATGTAAAACAAATTTCTTGGTAGAGGGGTCTAAATACAGCACAAACAACATTTTCCAAAAGACCAAAAAAGTGAAAAGAATATTTTAACAAAACGCGTTTGACTAACAGGTCGAACAATTGATGTTCTTAAAACCTGCTGACTGCCATTGACGATTGCCAAATAAATTGATCACGAGATGTAACTTGGATCTTAATTATTAATTTAATACCAAACAGAAAACAATAAACTTGCGGAGAGGATGGTATATCGCAAACATGAGGTGCAAAAATTTGTACACCATATCCGGATTTCGACAATTAATGTCTCTTCAGTGATGTTAGGGATCGAAACGGTATTTGGAAGGCCATATAATTGACCTCAATTTTGGATAGACTCTTGAATTTTAAAGAGTCGAAATAGGATGAACGGATCATATAAACCCGAAGGAAAATATAATACAAGCCCAAACGATCAATATAAACAAGTCTAAATTGAAAACAACGTTCAAACCTAGTATGATTGCGTTGGATAAAAACCGCAATTTGTATACGTGTGCATGTAAAACAAATTTCTTGGTAGAGGGGTCTAAATACAGCACAAACAACATTTTCCAAAAGACCAAAAAAGTGAAAAGAATATTTTAACAAAACGTGTTTGACTAACAGGTCGAACAACTGATGTTCTTAAAACCTGCTGACTGCCATTGACGATTGCCAAATAAATTGATCACGAGATGTAACTTGGATCTTAATTATTAATTTAATACCAAACAGAAAACAATAAACTTGCGGAGAGGATGGTATATCGCAAACATGAGGTGCAAAAATTTGTACACCATATCCGGATTTCGACAATTAATGTCTCTTCAGTGATGTTAGGGATCGAAACGGTATTTGGAAGGCCATATAATTGACCTCAATTTTGGATAGACTCTTGAATTTTAAAGAGTCGAAATAGGATGAACGGATCATATAAACCCGAAGGAAAATATAATACAAGCCCAAACGATCAATATAAACAAGTCTAAATTGAAAACAACGTTCAAACCTAGTATGATTGCGTTGGATAAAACCGCAATTTTTATACGTGTGCATGTAAAACAAATTTCTTGGTAGAGGGGTCTAAATACAGCACAAACAACATTTTCCAAAAGACCAAAAAAGTAAAAAGTATATTTTAACAAAACGCATTTGACTAACAGGTCGAACAACTGATGTTCTTAAACCCTGCTGACTGCCATTGACGATTGCCAAATAAATTGATCACGAGATGTAAGTTGGATCTTAATTATTAATTTAATACCAAACAGAAAACAATAAACTTGCGGAGAGGATGGTATATCGCAAACATGAGGTGCAAAAATTTGTACACCATATCCGGATTTCGACAATTAATGTCTCTTCAGTGATGTTAGGGATCGAAACGGTATTTGGAAGGCCATATAATTGACCTCAATTTAGGATAGACTCTTGAATTTTAAAGAGTCGAAATAGGATGAACGGATCATATAAACCCGAAGGAAAATATAATACAAGCCCAAACGATAAATATAAACAAGTCTAAATTGAAAACAACGTTCAAACCTAGTATGATTGCGTTGCCGTTGGATAAAAACCGCAATTTTTATACGTGTGCATGTAAAACAAATTTCTTGGTAGAGGGGTCTAAATACAGCACAAACAACATTTTCCAAAAGACCAAAAAAGTGAAAAGAATATTTTAACAAAACGCGTTTGACTAACAGGTCGAACAACTGATGTTCTTAAAACCTGCTGACTGCCATTGACGATTGCCAAATAAATTGATCACGAGATGTAAGTTGGATCTTAATTATTAATTTAATACTAAACAGAAAACAATAAACTTGCGGAGAGGATGGTATATCGCAAACATGAGGTGCAAAAATTTGTACACCATATCCGGATTTCGACAATTAATGTCTCTTCAGTGATGTTAGGGATCGAAACGGTATTTGGAAGGCCATATAATTGACCTCAATTTAGGATAGACTCTTGAATTTTAAAGAGTCGAAATAGGATGAACGGATCATATAAACCCGAAGGAAAATATAATACAAGCCCAAACGATAAATACAAACAAGTCTAAATTGAAAACAACGTTCAAACCTAGTATGATTGCGTTGCCGTTGGATAAAAACCGGAATTTTTATACGTGTGCATGTAAAACAAATTTCTTGGTAGAGGGGTCTAAATACAGCACAAACAACATTTTCCAAAAGACCAAAAAAGTGAAAAGAATATTTTAACAAAACGCGTTTGACTAACAGGTCGAACAACTGATGTTCTTAAAACCTGCTGACTGCCATTGACGATTGCCAAATAAATTGATCACGAGATGTAACTTGGATCTTAATTATTAATTTAATACCAAACAGAAAACAATAAACTTGCGGAGAGGATGGTATATCGCAAACATGAGGTGCAAAAATTTGTACACCATATCCGGATTTCGACAATTAATGTCTCTTCAGTGATGTTAGGGATCGAAACGGTATTTGGAAGGCCATATAATTGACCTCAATTTTGGATAGACTCTTGAATTTTAAAGAGTCGAAATAGGATGAACGGATCATATAAACCCGAAGGAAAATATAATACAAGCCCAAACGATCAATATAAACAAGTCTAAATTGAAAACAACGTTCAAACCTAGTATGATTGCGTTGGATAAAAACCGCAATTTGTATACGTGTGCATGTAAAACAAATTTCTTGGTAGAGGGGTCTAAATACAGCACAAACAACATTTTCCAAAAGACCAAAAAAGTAAAAAGTATATTTTAACAAAACCCATTTGACTAACAGGTCGAACAACTGATGTTCTTAAACCCTGCTGACTGCCATTGACGATTGCCAAATAAATTGATCACGAGATGTAAGTTGGATCTTAATTATTAATTTAATACCAAACAGAAAACAATAAACTTGCGGAGAGGATGGTATATCGCAAACATGAGGTGCAAAAATTTGTTCACCATATCCGGATTTCGACAATTAATGTCTCTTCAGTGATGTTAGGGATCGAAACGGTATTTGGAAGGCTATATATTTACAAGTCTGAATTGTAAACAACGTTAAAACATATGATTGCGTTGGATAAAAACCGCAATTTTTATACGAGTGCATGCAAAACAAATTTCTTGTTGGAGGGGTCTAAATACAGCACAAACAACATTTTCCAAAAGACCAAAAAAGTGAAAAAGTATATTTTAATAAAACGCATTTGACTAACAGGTCGAACAACAAATGTTCTTAAACCCTGCTGACTGCCATTGGCGATTGCCAAATAAACGGATCACCGATGTAATAAATGGATCTTAATTATAAATTTGATACTAAACACAGAAAACAATAAACTTGCGGAAAAGATGGTATACCGCAAACAAAAGGTGCAAAGGTTTTTGTACATCATATCCGGATTTCGACAATTAATGTCTCTTCAGTGATATTAGGAATCGAAACGGTATTTGGAAAGCCATACAATTTACCTCAATTTAGGATAGACTCTTGAATTTTGAGGAGTCAAAATAGGATGAACGGATCATATAAACCCGAAGGCAAATATAATACAAGCCCAAACGATCAATATAAACAAGTCTAAATTGAAAACAACGTTCAAACCTATGATTACGTTGGATAAAAACCGCAATTTTTATACGTGTGCATGCAAAACAAATTTCTTGTTAGAGGGTATATATATATACGTTTTGGCAAATACTACCACAGACTGCTAAAAGGATAAAAGGCACATCCTTAACTTGTGCATGTACCCCGGCGATGGTGGAATATGATAAAAACTCATTTGTAAAAGAAAATACACGAAAATCTGCCGTTGTGCGATTGGTAAGGATACCGACATTCCTTTAATATTTCAATATTGGTTCTTTTCGGAGACTTTACATATCAAAGGTTAAAGTGCGCTAAGGCTCGTATTTTACCTAAGCGATCGAAGTGTTTGCTGTCGACAGTCCAACAACATATGATTTTGCTTTCAGTTTCAAATTTTAACGTTTTCTTGATATTTTCATTTTTCATTTATTTCTGAATGCGACATATAATGAAAGTAAAACAGAAAATAACAAATAACAAATTAGAAAGGGGAAAATATTAAAGTAAAAAGAAAAACAAAATGGACAACAGAAAGAAAGAGAAGTTTGCCACCAAGGAGGTTGGATGTACAAAGAAATAGTACTTGTTCTACATATTCAGGTCCAAATGCACAACAACTACATGCACAAAGCCAACTGTCCACCACAGACCAAGAACGAGTACTTGTTCTACATATTCAGGTCCAAATGCTAGTTTAAAATTGGTCAGAATCTTGTATATGTTAAAAGCGTAGAAGGCCCTTTAACATAACGTCACAAACAAAAACGGCCAATATAAATATTTTCAATGATATAATGTGGAGTGATAAATAAAAGTTCGATAAGGTATATTTTAGAACCCGGTTCAAAGCATGTTGGGTAGCTGGTTTTCTCTTGAATTGTTTCATTTTTTGTCATGCCGAAGCCTTTTATATATCTTACATAGACGATGTAGGTTTAACTCGTTGTTAATGGCCATACGGTGACTTTTAGTTTAAGCAAGGATTTTGAAGTCTTTAGTGATTCACTTTAGCGTTATAAGAAAACCGAACTTTCTTGGGTAGCAGACAAATGTAGTTATTACATTAGCTTATCAAATACATGAAAAATAAAATATGTTAACTTTAATGTTTACTTTATTTGTTTCAGCATTACTTTTTATTAGTATGCTAATAGAATTATGACAATAAAGATTACAACTACAAAGCCAACTGTCCACCACAGACCAAGGACGAGGATTTTATCAAATAATATAAATCCTTTGGTCTCTTGTGGACAGTTGTCTTATTGGCAACCATATCATATCTCCATATATTTGTACTGTTGGTATTAAAGATTGTTTAGAATTGTCTAGTTTTGTTTTAGAACTTTGACTTACATTACTGATTTATACCATAAGTACATGTGCCTCACATTACTGTTTTGAGACCAAACGTTCAAATGTCGTATTATGCAGTTGTTCTGATCGCGATTTTGCTATAAATGTACCTTAAATGTTTCTGTAATAAGTTCCTTATTCTAGTGCATGTAACTTTGTTGAGATTGTTAAGATGTTACTATAACTATTTCCCACTTTATTTCAAATAACAACTCTTGATATGTTTCCTAGGAGGATTGTCGGTTACTAGGAGGAGCTTTAGTAACAATTGATTCACCATTGGAAAATTACTGGATTGCTGAAAAACTTAACGATCTTCCAAAAGTAAGTAGGTCTCAAATTCTAATGCAACTCTTTGTGTAAATATTGTTTTTCCATTGGCTAAATTTGTCCGTCAAATCAACAATTAACATGTCGTAACTAAAGAGTGCACTATCCTATTAAACTGGCGATCCTGTCGGTTCAGACCACCAAACTGAGGTAGATCCACACAAGTGTAGTGGTGGTCCTGATGTCTGACTATAAGGCTGTGGAGGTTTTATTCTTGTTTAGGCTTTCTGATATTTAGTATAACTCCTAATTACAACGATTATCTATATTTAATATGGAACCATATAATTATTGTGCAAATTGGCCTTATCTTATTAAAACTTTGGAAATAATTGAGAGCAAGCGTTTTACTGCAAATGTAGGACTACAAAATTTTTGCTGGGAACACCATATTTGCAACCTCTGCTGTACTAATGACCACCAGGCTAAAGAAGATTTCAAGACATCTGGGAGTCAGTCGCCTTATTGAATTTCAAGAATCAGGAAATGCTAGATTGACAGAATATAATTGAAAATAAAACAACACCTATTGATCTAAAGACGTTATTCTACATACAAAATTTGAATCGTGACGTATACAAATAATGGAATAACATTCAGTTTGATTTTTGCTATGACGTTCATGCGCCAAGAACATTTGTCTTTATACATCAATCGTCTCCTATAATTCCTATTAAAGACTATTACTGATTCATTCATTGGCATATTTAACACTAATGAAAAGAGTTTGTGCAATTATTTCTTGCATTTTGTGATGCAGAATATGTGTTTTCATCCCGTCTTGGGTAAGATTACTTTAGCGGATAAAATATTAATTTTCATCTGTTGCTATGCAGGCTTATTTTTTTCCGCGGCTTTATTTTTTTTAATTCTTACCAGCCTTCCTTCAAATAGTCTATTCAATTAAAACATACTTGGTCAACCCCATCCCACAGGAAAGCCACTTTTAAAGGGATGTTATTATTGGTTGGTCCAGATAATAACGACGTTTGCTGACTGCTAAGGGTATTTGGTTAAATTTGAATTTGTAGTCCCCTCACTGACACAGGAATGCGTCAAAGCAGAAACAGATAAAACATCTAAATTCCAAGACGTCATAATTATTTAGACTATGGGTTGGTGAGAAAAATGGTCCATTTTCATGATGACAAATTATTTAATTGGGTAAAATGATTCAACGGTTTGTTACCTTACCGAAAAGTGTCTTCCCTTGGTCCTTTATATGTTATTATAAGTTATTTCTTAATTTAATATTATGTAGATATGTATCAAGTTTCTTGCAATGATAATGAAATGTATTTATGAATTTGTACTTTTAAGGAAATCACTATTTAAAGACAATTAAGAATTTCTACACGAAAAACATATATGGTTATATAGGGAAAAAGTAAGCGGATTTCAACAACTATATATATATATCTACGTACGGCCTTCAACAATGAGCAAAACACATACCGTATACAACGACATTACAAAATGTGAAACATTCAAAGAGCATACAAGAATAAATTATAAATTCAAATATTTTTTTTATGATGTGAGCAATTATATACATGTATACGTAACCAGAATACCGATTCCCAAAGATGCTAGGTTTTAACTTTGAACTTAGTCGTCCGATTGGAATAGTACTTATTATAAGGTCTTAAGGGCATATGATACAGTAGAGATCCCTCGTTGATTTTTTCTTTAAATTTTGGTAGAAGGTCAATTTCGATGTGTACTTTTGAAATATGCAAAGAAAAATATACCTTCATGACTTACTTTTTGAGATAATTTGTTTCGAAATTTGCATATTTGAAGGAAAAACCCTGAAATTTCATAAATAAGGGCTTTTAAGGAAAGTACCAATACTTTCGAACGGTTGAAATAAATAATTATATCCTAAATTGTTTTAATACAAGTGAAATAAAGAAGCTGAAAATATTTTTGCGTCTACACAGAAGTGCAGAAAAATTCTATCGTTGATTTTTTCTTAAAATTTTGGCGGAGTGTTCTTGAAACAGAATTTGATCGATTGCAAAAGAAAAAACTGGGGGTCCATGTGCTTGTTTTTTCAATAAAAGCAATAAACCTTAATTTCTATTGGCAAAACGGGATGTTTGCCAATAAGGCGTCAAACTAAATTGGAATAAGTTTTATTCGCAACAACGTCTTGAAATCTTTCCCGCTGTTCACTACTACGTTGTCAATTTCAGTGGTAGAGTCAAGGTGGTTTTTTTAAACCAATGATATCAATCATGAAAATTAATAAAGCTGGCTCCTCGTAAAATAGCATCATATTTGCCAAACCTTTATGAATTGTTACGAATTCAAACTTGGATAGAAAAGTATTCTAGTAAATTACTTTTAGAAAAGAAATGTTCGGAAACAAAACAGATATATATAATAAAAAAATTAATTTGCATCTCTGTCCGACATTAGTCATACAATTCATGTAGACAACACAGCTTGAACATATAGTTTTAATTATTCAAAAGGCCCCGACATGACAAAATGTGCAACAATTATAAAGTAAGGGGATGATATAAAAATAAGGACATTTGGTATGATTGCAAAAGAGACAACTATCAACCATAGTTCAAATGACGAAAATAAATGCTACTAAAGGTCACCCCACGGCCTTCAACACAAAAAAAAAGAAAAAGAAAAATCCACACCGTATAGTCAGCTTTAAAAAGCCCCGACATGAAAATGTGAAATAATTCAAACAAGAAAACTAACGACCTAGTCTATAGGCATTACATGATCACAAAATCATACCCACATTAAATCGGGTCAGCTTAGTCAATTACAGTGTAGTATAACATTTCATACAGCAGTCGATATTAGAGCATGAAATTTAATGATTCTGTATCAATAGATAAGTTACCTAAGCTTGTCTTCAGAGTATTTTTTTTATTACGGTACATATACTCATTGAATTACTTGTCTGTATTATACCTTCAATCTGGGAGTGAGTGCAACCACAGAGTTTGTCCGGTCCAACAAATATTTTGTTTCTTATCTGAGAAACTAATTTACAAAAAGACTACGTATTTGGTCAGTAACTTAACATCAATGAGTTGCAACTCTGGTCTGTCAAATACCTAATTCCTGTGTGCCGATTTTTCTCTCTCAATATGTACATAGAGGATATGCTTAGCACATCAACGGGTGCGTTTTTGTTTTTGGTCTATAATACGGGGCTTAAAACTGAGTCATTTTAACTGACAATTCTTCTTCATACACTTATATATTCCACGTGTTAAATTCTAAAAATGCCGTTCAACTCTTTAATGTTCCTTTTCAAAGTCAGGAACAGTAAGATGCGCTGTCATTATTTATTACGTTTTTTTGTCATTTTGTTGATAGTCTCTGTTAAATTTATCCGTACAATTCTCATTACGATTTAGAGTTAGACAAATGGTGAAGTTACTATATAAATTACTTATTTTTTTTGTTTGTGTACTACTAGTTGGGTTTCTCTCTCATCGACTTCTTATGTTTTTCATATCTCTTATTCATTTCCTATATGAAATAACAGACATACAAAATTAAGAATGTGGACTTGATTTTTTTCCCATTCGAAGTTAATATTGTTGACTTCCTTATTCAGTCGGAAAGCTGACCCCGGTTTGACCCCATTTCTTAAAGCAACAATGGAAGTCATGTGATTACCATATATGGGCATTTTTTTACCAAAAAAAGTGAAGCCCGTTTTTTGGAATTTGTAGTTTTTTGCATGAATTAAAACTAATTTGCTTTTAAGTGAACATTCTTGAGTATATAAGAAAAATATTGATCCACTCAATTATGGATTAAACTAATTTTTTCTCTCAAAATGTGTCTTCAAAGTCTAGGTGTTGACCAAAAAAATCGGTCATTGGAAATTAAAATCGTAATTTTCTTTCTTAACTTCTCGGGAAGCTATGCTGAATTTAAATTATGTTATGTAACATAACTTTGACTATGATATGTCAAATTTGTGCCACTTAATACGCTGTAATACGCAAATGTGCCACTTCGATGTGTCGATATTTCTGACGAAGCGGGGCCGATAGTAATTTACGAGTTACGTCCCTTTGTTTGACACTCTCATGATCAAACTATTATTATATTAAGCACCATATGCTGTTATTTACATGAGGATATTTTTAAAATAATTTTATTGAATATATTTTGATACTAAAGACATGTGCAAAAAAATTAGCGAAACACATTTTATCACTTTTCAGAACTCAGTCTCAGTGAAATACTCAAATAGGCCCTATGTCAGTATGTGCCATAATATTATTATTCCAAGAGTTAATTTAATATTTATATTTTGGTAAGTATTTATACTGCTGTAACCAAATTATTTCAACACAGAAATAAATTTCTACTTTAATCATACAAGGGGTAGCCAAAATATTAATGAATAATGGATCAAGACAGGATTAAAATTATCAAATACAGGAACTCCTTTTCATTACTGATACCTGATCCTACCTTTTTTATTTAAACTTAAACGAGACCATAATGAAAGTATTCTGAATGTAAATTCTTCATTATTTGAAATAAAAGGAAATTAGTTTGCAATTCTTGTATGAACAAACTAGATATAACAATAAATTTTGTCTCACTGATTCCATGCAGATTCTAATGAATGGACTCAAATTATAAAAAAAAACACTAAACCAATGCTAAGTCAACAATATTATGTTTTAGATCACAAGTCATAAGTAAGTCACACTTCATGTCAGTATGAACATGCTTTGAATAAGAGTGATGAAATTGCTAGTCTGAAAGAGATTGTTTTAAGTTTATATTTAGGACAAGACTTTTTCATTTACCTTTGGCAGTTTTGCAGGATTACTTCATCACAAATTTTTTTATAATATTATAAACGATGAATGAGTTTTGGTTAAGGTTGTGTAAAGACAGTATACGATTTCCTTACCTTCCTTGTTTTAGTTAAGTCAAAAAATTCACTGACTTAAAGAGAATAATTAATCCAGTCAAATATTCACAGCTGAACTCGCCATTGCTTTTTCAAACAAACACACTAAATGTGTGTACATTGTGTAAAGATGCAAGTTGACATCGATGTGTAAGATAAAAAAAACTACAATGTCAAAAAATGTCTTTCGTTTGGAATTTAGTTCGAACGGGGTTTCCTAAGGGGTGATAGAACGTTAGACTTGATTTTTGTTTTAACTTTGAGATACTTATTATTAATTTTTTATATAGTTTGTATATTCTTTGTTTATCTGGAAAAAAAGAAGAAAAAAATAACAGACAATTTCGCATAATTCTTAAACGACGATCAAAGGCATTACGTTATTTTTAAAAGACGGACAATTTATAACATGTTTAAGTATTAATTTCTTTGATAATAAGAACCATGCTTGAAAAATTGAAAGAAATCTATTTCTGACCCTAATGGCAAGTGAGAAACAGAAAAAAGAAAAAATTCCAAATTGGCGCCAAATTATTTTTTCCGCGAAATTAACGCAATTTCAGAATGGCGGGTTTTAATATCAGTCCCATTGTTGTCTTAAGAAAGTAGCAACAACGGTCGTTTCTAAGGGCTTGCTTTCCGACTGATTAAGAGCAATTCTCTGTAATCACCAAAATATTTCGGCACGCACTAAAAAATATTTGTTTTAAACTTTATTAGTTCAATAGAGCCACATGAGCTTAACAAAAAATATTATTACACTTAGCCCCATATGTTTACCGTTTCCTTGGTAACAGGACTTAAAGTGGCAAGAAAGAGGGAAAATGCAGTGTTTACAAATTATGATCAATTATGTCTAATAAAAAGAAAATGATATAGATATTCAGACATTTAAAACTTTTTTCAGTTTAAAAAAAACAAATAAAAATTGTGTTCAACTGTAAACTTTCTTAAAAAAAATCTATATAGCTAAAATAGGGTAAAAAGTGCAATAAAAGGGGGGTTTTCGAGCCTATTTTGATCAGGTGTTGTAAAAAAATGCAGCCATTTCTTATATTGTTGATTATATGAATAGAGAGAATGGATTAAGGTTATACAAGAAAAGAAAAAAAATCAGTGGGCAAACTTGACTGTGTTGAAATTAATTGACCCTGAAAAGTTGAGTTGTCCTGTATTTACCTAATCAAATTACCTCCCTTTACGGAGTTCTCTTGTAGAGAAACAAATTAAAAACAGGAGGGAAAATGTAAACAAATGCAGACAACAATGTTATTTTTCGAATTTCTTAATGTTTTATATTCAAGCATAATGGGAAATGGGTAAATTTTTCACAGTGATGTTAGCCTACACTTATATATATGGTTAAGTTGGTGTGATTTGCTCATATTTTGAAAATATTGTCAGAACAATGGAACTGTGTCTGTACTAAGACAGTGTATTTTATAGTTTATTTTGCTTACCGTAACTAACTTTTTTAATGTATTTATTTATATAATCTTCGAACAATTGTTATAAAATGTGTAGCATAAAAGATTCCGTAGGCAATTGTGACAACTGCAGTGACGACAGATATTTTTTAAAATGCTTCCATTGGAAAAAGAGACATGTATAAATTTTTGTCAGAAATTTTTTTACTTAAATCTGACATTACATTGTACGTCACAACTGAGGATCTGTGATATTCATAGAAACATTATCATCGAAACAACTAACAAGAGATATAGAAGGAAAAATTGTGGTGTGCCTTCAGAAAATGTCATTTTGAAATATCATAATACATGTACTACAAAAGCAGTGGATCGACATGTTACACCCGAGATGTTTCAAAGAATTGTTACAAAGACAGGCATTTTCATTCCTATTGGAACATGTAAGTAGATACTATTAACCTAATACCATTTTTCTTTAAAAAAGATACAGTGATAAACCTCTTATAAAAAAGAAATCAAATGCAGCTGTCAGGTACCCCCCCCCCCCCCCCCCTAAAAAAAAAACAAAAAAAAAAAACCTTAGGGTTACTAATTATCTACCATTTGGCTATGAACCTTAAGCTTATTGTTTTTAGCATGTGACAGCCATATGAACTTCTTTAATACCCCTTTTTTAAACTTTAAAACATAAAATTATGTGAAGTTCTTTGAATCTTGTTTTTGAGAGACAAAAATTATAACATGAAAGCTGTTTCACGTTTCCTTTCCTTTACCAGATTTGTAAGGTTTTGTACATGATAATCACATCATTTCATACCGGTCCTTATGAAATAAAAAATGTTGCAGCAACAATGCTGCAATGTTGCGGCTGCTGATCAGGTTGCCAGAAAATTGCTGCCGGATAAGTGCTGAATGATGCTGCTAGCATCATTCTGGCTACAGTGCAGCGCTATTTCCTTTCATGACAAAAAGCGCCACAATGTTGCCATAAAGCACACATATAATTTTCTCATTCTTAATCTACTAAAATGATGCCAGAATAGAGCCAGAACATTGATAATGTCATTGATGATGTCACCAGTGTTTGAGCTTTTTACTGTGGTCATGGTGGTGTGTTAGAAGTGGACCATATGTTGCTTGAGCTTATGATTTTAGTGAAGAATTGGGTGTTCATGTGAAGACTTGTATGTAAACTTAGATTAACATGATTAATTAAATGCATTATATAAAAGTTCAATCTCTCATTTAATTAAATCAAGGGAATTGTCTTCTTCCTGATAGACCTGGAGAGCATTTTCAAAAAATCCTAATTAACAGGGACGAACTATCATCTAATGGGGCGAATTGGTACCTCCTGAAACATAAGTGATGGTTTCTCTTCCCTTTCTCAATTTAACCCTCGCTAAAATTTTACAGAGCATGCTGAAAGAAGTTTGGTCAATTATGTCTTTGTAACCCTCTAAAGACGGCTTGAAAGTGCTATTTGTTTGGAAAAAAATGTAGTATAATCACGAATTTAGATTGCTAATCAGACAAAACACAACACCTTTGACTGAAGTGAAGGGGCTCCTGTTGGGATCATGGAAATTACGTTGGTGTTATTGAAGGTATAGATGTTGCATGTTGACAGTTCATGAGTTACACATTTTAACTTTCCTTTTCCTCAATGTGGGAAAATTAAGTACATTACATATAGGAATAACTTCTGAGGACAGAACTTTACTTTCTTTAAAAGAAAAAGTTATAATAATAACCCTGAGCACACAAAAAAATCATAACGTTAAATAAAGGAGTTAAAACTTTTTCTCGGGTATACTTAGCACTAAACTTACCTGGTCAGACGTTACTTTACCTTTTTAGTCAATAATTAAAGGAAGCCAGAATTTAAAGGCATTAGTGGCGCAATAGTGCCAGAAAACTAATTTGCATACAAAATAAAAAACAATATCTGCATTGAAGCCACAACATGTTGCGGCAACGAAGCCACAGCATTTTCTGGCACCAGTGCCAGAAAATATATTTGCATATGAAATACGCTAATGCAGCATCATTGCCACAACATGTCGGTGCAATGAAGCCGCAACATAGCCCTAATGTTGTCACAACTACATGTATGCGCCAGAAGGCTTATATTCCGATAAGGGCGCGGACAGCCTTCTTTTATTCATGTTTACTTGAGATACATGTATGTTTTAAAATTCGTTTTTATGTACATACATGTACATGTATATGACCCAACAAAAAAGTATGTGGGTTTACTGTACACCTACCTACCCTAATTTCAGTATATGACCCCAACAAAAAGTATGTGGGTTTGCTGTACCCCTACTTACCCTAATTTTTGTCCCCTACCCTAAAGTTTTTTTGACTATTTTTGATTAAGTACTGTTAAAGTCACAATGTTGCTCCCATAGACTCAATGTAAAAAAAAAAATCCCTACCTACCTACCCTTTTTTTTTCAGCAAGTGACAGTAAACACACTTTTTTTTGTTTGGCCTAAATAGTTTTGATAGTGATACACAGAATGAGATCAATTGTGTATCTATTTTCTTTTATATTACAGCAATGTGTAGACTGTGTAGAGAAAAACTATTTGGAAATAACAGTATTGAGCATGTTGAGGAGGTATGTCTTTTCATATACATGTATAAATATGATTCCCTGTACACATGTATACTCAATAGTCAATAGTGAGTTTATTGTTATGTCATGTATATATATATATATATATATATGTATGGGATCCATATTGTAACTACATGTCAAACTGCATATGTACTCAGTTTTACTATGACAAGAATAAGAAGATCTTTTCAATTCAGAAATAACATTAAACTTTAAAGTTCCAATTTGGTCTTCATATTCACTAAGCTTTTGCACATTTTATTTGGTAAACTAGTTTCATCATTAAGCATTAGTAAAAAATCTATTAAAATAAAAACCAAGGTTTTAATTGATCTAATTTACATGTACACTTAGGGCCAATAGGGGTTAAACTATGCATTCATGCATGCATAATTGAGGGTAAATTAAGGGTAAATTTCTAAATCATTTGTGTATAAAACATACCTCAACTGAACCCTAACCCATTCATATATTACTAAACCCTCTAAGATACATGTACAAAAATGTAGGTTGGTTTTTGCTTCAATATTATCATGTGTATTCCAGAATTCATTATTGTTCCAATTTCAATTAGTACCTTGTTTAAAATATTCTTAAAAAGTTTTTCTTTTCTTTTAACTTAGGAGAACACTATTGAGACAAATACAAAGAACAAGATTGCAGAAGCTGAAATACTACAACCTTAGAAAGAAAGAGGGTAGGTATAACTGTATATAAAATAGTATCATTGCATACACTTTATAAGATGTCTCATAAACTTGACTTTATAAGATATCTTGTAAAAGTATTTAAGATACATTGTATCTTGTATAATATCAGATTATTACATGGCATTTTTCATATAGCATGTATTATCAGCCCTAGGTTTAATATCAGCCCAAGAGCCGCATTGCTTGAGGGCTGATATTGGCCGAGGGCTGATAATACATGTGATATGAAAAATGACATGCTATGATCTTTTTATCATATGCTTCAACAATGGAGAAAAATAACAGATTAATATATTGATCTTTTTACGTGGTTCTTAAATAGCAGTTCAAAGAGTGAAATATTATAAGTTACATAGTGTGCTAGTGACCTAATACGGTATATATGGGGTCAGTAAATTCCATATGGGGTGAGAGCAAAGCTCGAATCCCCATATGGAATTTACTGACCCCATATATACCGTATTACGTCACTAGCACACTATGTAACGAATTTATCTTACCGACTATCTTAACGTGTGAAATTTAGACTAGTGACCTATCAAAATGAGCACTGAAGTCTTCAATACTTTGAAATACTAAGAAATACTAAGAAACTTCTCTCATTGATCCTACAAAAACAGCTGCCAACAATAACAACTTGTTAGGTTTAAATGTGTTTTATGAATTCATTTCAATCTTAATCATCAATTTCTTCGTCTGTTGAAATCTTTAAGATGTTTTCTCAATACCGTTTTGTTTTTATAAAGGGACGCAACACCACTACTAACCGTGTATGAAATAAGCCCCGCCTCCTTTCTAACCTTATATGGAATATAAAGGGGACGTAACTCCACTACTAACCGTGTATGAAATAAGCCCCGCCTACCTTCTAACCTTATATGGAATATAAAGGGACGTAACTCCACTACTAACCGTGTATGAAATAAGCCCCGCCTCCCTACAAACCTAATATGAAATATACACAGTCTCCACGCGGACGCTTTAAACCAATCTTTTTCCTAGAAATGTATAGGAGGTAAGATAATCACGGATGTCAGACCCCAAATGTTGTACAATCGATATGAAATCTTTCTATCATATTCCTCAACAATGAAGAAAAAAAACCAGTATGGTATATTTTAATACGGACGATAAAAAAATAATTCAACAATATACATAATAAATACTGTTTGGAAAAGTCAACATTTTTAAAGTAACTTTCTTAATTATGTTAAAAACGCATTTATTTTATCATTTGTTTATTGTTTGTTTTTTTTCCATTTTACACAATATACTTTCCAGTATCCAAATAATTGTTTTGTACCCTACTTTGTAATGTTTTTCACTGAAAACGTACCATTGAGGTGTATTTTCCAGAATTTGCCGAGTATTACCGGAATGCCATGCGATAACGTTACGGAAAGGCATGTGATAAAAGTCGAAGCATGTGATAAACTTTTCATATCAGACCGCTGAGCACCAATTCGAAAAAATATGGAATATACGTAAATGTAATGCTATTATCATATGGTAAAAATCATATGTTATTTAGTCTTAGTATATGATAATATATTTTATATCTTCATGAGAGATCTCATAAAGAAGTTTATAAAGATATCTCATAAACTTTAGAAGATATAAGATTTTCAAGATATCCAATTAGGAGCTAACTGTATTGAATTTGCAGATTTGGAGCCATCAATCATGGATTTGATGGTCGCAAATTGAGTTTACTAGCGACACGTTAGCGGAGCCAGTAAACGGATATTTGCGACCATCAAATCATAGATTGATGGCTCCAAATCTTCAGATTGATATATACCCTGAAAATTACGACTTTATCCAATGAAATTTGACGTTCATACGTTACAACAAATGTTGCATTAGAATGAATGTTATAGCAGTCAGAGCTCTGACATAAACAAGTCAGAATAAAATGACTTCTTCAAGTCAGAAAGTGTTTTGAAATTCTGACCTGTACGCGTCAATTTTTGTTTTGCGTAGTTTTCACTCGAGTCCATCAAACCAAAAGTTATTTTGAATTTGCCGCCGATCTACGACACATACGATCACGTGGTTTTTTGCAAGAGATCATGTGTTTGAGAGTCGTTGTTTTGGAAGTGTCTCGAACGAGAAGTCATTGAATATTATATTGATTATTTACGATTTTTAGTGAAAATCTAGGTCATTGTGGGCATTTTTAGAAAGGTAATTCATATTACCTCCGTATTTTCATGGGCATTTTTATATTTTTTGCCTATAACGAAGTTCCTTGCAAGTGATTTTTTTGCTGTTTCATGAAGGCGCGCGACCTGTAAATACGGACGCGTGGTCTTTGAGATGACCTGGTGTTTGACAATTCTGACTTGTTCAGGTCAGAAAATGTTGTTATGATAATGAATTGTTATTTTCGGGAGATAACTCGTGTTGTCTTAAACAATATTAACATGTCAGTGCAATTTAAAAAGTAAAATTATTGCTTCGAGCTGAACATCGTCACGTGATTTTTCTATTTTTAAACTCAATCACGAATTGATTTTTTAACCTTTCTGATTCGTTTCTCCCTATGAGAAAAACGATCAATGTGAATATTGATATGATGATAATGAAACGAAAATGGGAAAAATTTTAATAAAAGAAAAAGGAAGGGAGGGGTTTAACTAAAGAACCCAAGGTTTTTTTTTTATTTTTAAAGTTATAACTTGAGAACAATAAGTGATGCACACACCTGGTCTTCATTTATGATCATGGGACATGATAAAACAAATCAAATGAAATGTAGGGCAAGTCTCCAGGGATCACCCCTATCTCTGTCATTTCTCTTTTCCTCTTTATAATGTCAAATTGATTTGAATGAAATATACCGGGCTAGTCTCCAGGTTTACCCCCACCCCCTGCCATTTGCAAATGTTATTATATTTTGTAAACGGTAGAGATCCCCACCCCTAAACCATATATATATTCTTGTATGGAACAATTTAACAAATCAAATGATATGTTGGGGAGGTCCCTGGGGGTCACCCCTACCCCTCCTGTTTGAAAACTTGTAAACGGTCGAGATCCCCACCCCTAAACCATATATTTTCTTGAATAGGACAATAAAACAAATCAAATGAAATATAGGGGAAGTCCCATGGGGTCACCCCCACCCCCTCCTGTGTGAAAACTTGTAAACGGTCGGGATCCCCACCCCTTAACCATATATATTCTTGTAAGGGTCAATAAGACAAAATAAATGAAATAAAGGTGAAGCCCCTGAGGGTCACCCCACCCCCTCATGTTTGAAAACTTGTAAACGGTCGAGATCCCCACCCCTAAACCATATACATTCTTGCACAGGACAATAAAACAAATCAAATTAAATATAGGGGAAGTCCATTGGGGTCATCCCCATCCCCCTTTTTGAAATGTTCTGGATCACCACCCCTAAAGGTAAACCATATGATATTCCTGTTCGTCATTTCAAGAAGATTTGAATGACATGCAGGGTCAAACCCTAGGCGTCACTTATGCATATCACTTTGCTAGACAAAACCAATTTGTACTGGAACTTGCCCAATATCAGGCAACCATGGGAATGACGAATTATGGGAGCTTTGTTTGGGAGACTTCGCAACAGCATCATGTTACAATTATTTCTTGTTTATTTTAATCTGCTGAGAGACCACCTTTACATATTATATTTATCAGTGTTTGTGCAAACAGAATTGTCTATTCAGTATTATTTTCCTCTCACATCCATCACATCTTATTAGTTACATGGATACAGGAAGATGTGGTATGAGTGCCAATGAGACAACTCTCCATCCAAGTTACAATTTATAAAAGTAAACCATTATGGGTCAAGGTACGGCCTTCAACACGGAGCATTGGCTCACACCAAACAGCAAGCTATAAAGGGCCTCAAAAAATTACTAGTGTAAATCCATTCAAACGGAAAAACCAACGGTCTATTCTATATAAAAAAAAAAAATTTTTGGCATATTTGTTTTCCTCTGAAATTACACATCTATAATTCTTACCCCAGATGCTTAGCCACATGAAGCATTTACCTCTTATTTTAGACATAGATAGTCTTTGTTTCTACAGAAGTGAGAAGAACATTGGAAGTCAGAATGTTCTGACTTATAAAAGTCTGAATGTTCTGACTTAATAAGGTCAGAAAGACTCAGAATGATCTGAAAATACTGACTTTTTTTAATGTTTAGAATATTTTAGAATATGAATGCACTTGTCATGCTAGTACCATAAGAAACCCTGACAAGATTTTGTTCCCAAACAACAATTTTTAAAGATATTAAGAATAACAAGTGTACAATGGAACATAAATTACAAAGTTATAAGTGTTGTGAAAAAAGCTATTTAAAAAAAAATCAATAGATAGTTATCTTTCAACTTTTACATGTATTTAAAAAACAGTGAAAATATTATGGATTATATGTACAGCTTCTTGAAGGACAACAAAGTCACCATATTTGGTCTGAATTTGTATGTTTTTTCTCCTCAAATTTTTTTTAACATTAATAATGTAATAGGTCAAGTCATTAGGGACGACATCAAAAGTTCAATGTAGGATAAAAAACTGAATTCACATCACATATTTTTTTTAAAGGCAGTGCTTTAATGCCTTTCTAGTTGCCGGGTTGATCCTTCCTTCCGCGATATCCAACTTATCTACGTGGGGGTCATTAGACTCCAAGTAGATCCGGAAATGTTGAATTCTCTCCTCTTCTTATTGCGATATAAAATGTTTTTTGTTTCATTTCATTTACATTGGGAAATAGAGAAACGATCATTGTGTTTTGTTAGTTTTAAAAACTTTTGATATATTAGTATTTTGCATTATAAGCAGTCAACCGATTGACAAACTAGAATTATTTGAATTCCGTGTGGAAAGAGCTCGGGTTAATTTCGAGTGTTATCTGCAATCTAGATGTTTATAAATCATTTCAGTCGTTGATATAATAATTAAAGGTCGACTGAACATGAATTATATTATACAATTTAAAGCGCATTTCTGTTTATGCACGTGAACCCGTCTAACGTTATTTTCGCAGTTATATAAAGTAGCAAATTATCGTTCCTGAATAGGTGGCGCCGTGGTAGCGGATCCTGTTCCTCTACTTCCGGTTTCTGCACTGTGCAACTATTTCAGTTATATTTTTAATTAACGATGCCAAGTACTTGTTGTTGTGTACCTGGATGTCATTTAAGAGGAGGACATGCATTTCCAAATGACTTAAAAAGAAGGAAAAGTTGGATCAACGCCATGGCCCATACGCAGATTGGACGAGAACACGATGATATCGTGGAGTCCATCTCAATCAGCTGTTGTTTGCAAGGCACGTTTTACTGAAAAAGACTACGTGCAGGAAACTATTCATGGTAAAACTCTATTTTCTTTGTGAAATATATAGTTATATATGTAATCGCCATGCGAATAAACCAAAGTCTGTTTACAACCGCAATTATCGTTTTAGAATAAAAGGGGGTGGGTAATTCAAGGTATCGGGTCCGTTCGCGCCCAATACACGTTCGCACCCTACACGTTCACACCCCACACGTTCGCCCCCTAGGTCCGTTCGCACCCTACACGTTCGCACCCTTTTTTTATTCAAAAACCTGATAAATTTTTAGATGTTTTGTAAAATATTTTTATTTTCATAAATAAAAATTCGGGAATTTTTAAATGAAATATTGTTTTAAATTGATTTGATGATTAATTATTAAATGTTAATTATGTATGATTACTGCTAATTGGTATTTATACACAGCCTAATATGATGTTATTGTTGGGTGTTTAAAAATCATGATTGTTGTCATGGTTGTTTTAACTTGCTTTAAATGTAAATACTGCATGTATTTAGCTTGGTATGAGTAAAACTTTGAAGATTTTAAATAAAAAACATGAAAGATAATTGTTTTTAACAGCTTGGCTCCTTTGATCTCATGTGTGTCAGAATCTCACTTTATTCATAAACAATGAAAAAAAATATTTATAGCAATACACTATCCAAAACATGATTACGAATTATTCAACATATAAAAAAAAACGTTTTCAGAATCCCATTTCCTTTTGAAACAATAAAAAAGAAATATTTATAGCAATACACTAACCAAAACATGATTAAGATTTTATCAACACCTAAAAAAACGTTGTCAGAATCTCACTTTATTTAGAAACAATGAAAAAAAATAATTTATATATATATATATATATATATTTGTTTTACATGCACACGTATAAAAATTGCGGTTTTTATCCAACGCAATCATAGGTTTGAACGTTGTTTTCAATTTAGACTTGTATATATATAGATATATATAGAGCAATACACTTACCTAAACATGATTAAAAATTATTCAACACAAAACTAAAATACTGGTCGTCAGAATCTCACTTAATTTAAAAACAATGAAAAAAAAATGTTAATAGCAATACATTTACCATTTACCATGACACAAAAAAAACCTTGTCAGAATCTCACTTTATTTAGAAACAATGAAAAAATATATATTTATAGCAATACACTTACCAAAACTCGTTTACAAATTATTAAACACAAAACCAATAAAAATTGGGTGCGAACGTGTAGGGTGAGAACGGACTTTGGGTGCGAAATTGAAAGGGGGCGAACGTGATTGGGCGCGAACGGACCCGGATTCGTAATTCAAGACGTCATAATTTTTTGGATTACGATTCAATGTGATCTGTTTGAGATTTTTTGGTGATTGCTACAATTATAATGATTTCTTACAAGAGGTATATCATACTGAGAATTATTTTAGCAGTAATTATGCTAATGTAGTAATGACAGGAATGCATAAGCTATGCCTCATAGACTTTCTTGAAAAATATCAATGACAATGTTAACAGGAACAAAACAATGACATGCTCTCATCTATATTATAGTTATTTAGGTACAAACAATGTACGTTTGTTGCATAAGTCTCTCATTGTTTGTCCTTTGGATTTACATAACATACATTAAATCAGGCAAACATAGTTTTATCCAGATTGTAATGAATAAATCTAGTTAATATTTCGCCAGGTAGTACAAAGTATACATTGCTAATGGAAGTTCATTTAATTATAAAAAAACTAATGTTTTATAACCTTTTTCAGAGTGCAAACCAACCATACAGACTGAGAGACTTAAGTCTACTGCAATTCCCAGCCTATTTTCCTGGACCAAGCAAGAGACTGAATCGTCCGCAAAAAGAAAAATCAGGGCAGTTTCCTGTGAAAACAAAAGAACTAAACTTGATGAATATTGTAGTAGAAATCTAGAGGAAAGTTTTGATTGTAAAGTTGGTTTTCCTGAAGAAGTCATTCATACTGCGGAAAGGATTTATGACTGTCCACCACCAACTGCCGAGCTAATGTTGAGCTTCACAGATGGAATTACACAAACACCATCAATGCCTATGTTTTCAGCAGAGAATTTTGAAATGAAGACACGTGACACAGCCATGCATTTTTATACCAGTTTAGAGTTGTATACTAAATTTTTATTTGTTTTGACCACACTTGGTCCAGCAGCACATTGTTTGAGATACATATATTTTCAAATTGATAGGGTGTCAGTTGAAAATCAGTTTTTTTATGACTTTGATGAAATTGAGGCATCATACAACCAACTTTGAACTGTCTAGATTCTAGATTGAATCTAGTGTTAAGAATATTGTGTATACATGGATTGTTTTTATGTCTAAACAGTGGTGTGAGGCTAACACTTGGCCATCTAGTGGTTTAGTCAGGTATTTTTCACCATCCAACTTCAAATTAAAGTTTCCTACGACTTGGATTATTATTGACAGCACAGAATATCCCGTGATAAAACCTAAAGCTCCTAGAGCTCAGGCAACCTTTTCATCAAATAAAAACAGAAACACTGAAAACTCTTGAATGTTCGACACCTGGTGGTTTAGTCAACTATGTCTCTATGTCACATAGAGCGAATTATTGGACTTGGCAAAACATACAAAATTCTAATAAATACTATGAATGGAACTGAAACTTTCATCTGAAATAACATTTAGTTGTTTTATGTTGTGTAATTTTAGAACTTGTATTGTGCCAAAGGATGCATAAATAAAAGTGACGCAATGAATTTTGTTCTGATATATATATATTTACAATTACATGCACATGTAAATTGCAATGCATATAAAAATAAGGAGATGTGGTATGATATTCAGTGAGTTTATCAAACTAAAGTGCATAAGAAATGGGTTTAAGTAGTTACAGGTGTTACTGTCACCGTACAATCTCCAACAATGAGAAAAACTCGTACCCTGTAAAAAATTTCAAAGATCTTACAACTAAGTTTTATTGTCTCACCTTGACTTTGGTGAATTTTTTATATCTGTTGATGTAAATATAAAAAAGAAGATGTGGTATGATTGCCAATGAGAAAACTCTCCACACATACACAAGAGACCAAATGACACAGAAATTAACAGCTATAGGTCACAGTACGGCCTTCAACAATGAGCAAAGCCCATACCACACAGTCAGCTATAAAAGGCCCAGAAATGACAATGTAAAACAATTCAAACAAACGGCCTATTTTATGTAAAAAAATGAACAAATATAACAAATATGCAACACATAAACAAACGACAACCACTGAATTACACTTTTATAGGCTCCTGACTTGGGACAGGCACATACATGTACATACAGAATGTGGCGGGCTTAAACATGTTAGCGGGATCCCAACCCTCCCCCTAACCTGGGACAGTGGTGTAATAGTACAATATAAGAAAGAACTATAAAAATCAGTTGAAAGAGGCTAAACTCATCAGATGGATAAATACAAATACAAGTGGACGTGGTCGGGTGGTTGTACATCCAAACAACAAAAAGACACTAAGTACAAATCTGAGAGTACTCGCAGTTACTGACAGCTAGTTCAAAGCCACTAACAACTGATAAAAAAATCTTACATCTAAGACTAAATTATCAATCCGTAAGCTCCCTTTAGAATTTTATAAATTTTAGATTTTACATTTCTGTGTTATGGGGTTTTATTCATTAAAAAAGGGGGGATTTTCCAGTTTTTGGACAACAACTCAAAAATGCTTTAAGCAGTTCACATGAAACTTTGGTGAATTATTTATAGCTATTGATGTAATCTCCCTATTGATTTTCATAAATTTCAAATATGACATTGAGAAGAAATTGAACTTTATAGTCTGGCAACAGATTTATTAAGTATTGCACAACAGCAAGAAATCTTTAATTGAATATAAATTCAATTCATATAACCGATTTCAAGTTCATTGACTACATTTATTCAGAAACTATAATATGTCAAATATTTAATTACAATCCAAATTCAGACCAGTATCAAGCTTGAATATTGTGTCCATTTTTGCCCCAGCTGTTCAGGGTAGTACCTCTGCGGGTGTATCCAGCTGCGCTCAGCGAATCAGTTTATTTCTTAATTAAGAACTCCTTTTTATACGACCGCAAAAAAATTTTTGTGGTCGTATATTGGTATGACGGCGTCGTCGTCGTCCGAAGACACATTAGTTTTCGCACTCTAACTTTAGTTTAAGTGAATGGATCTCAATGAAATTTTAAAATAAGGTTCAATACCACAAAAGGAAAGTGGGGATTGATTTTGGGGGTTATGGTACCAACAATTAAGGAATTAGGGGCCAAAAAGGGGCCAAAAATAAGCATTTTTGTAACTTCCAGACATAACTTGTGTGTAAGTGTATGGATCTCTCTGACATTGTACCACAAGGTTCCATATTACAAAGGGAATGCTGGGATTGATTTTTGGGGGTAATTGCCTCCAAATTTTAGGAATTAGGGGCCAAAAAGGGGCAAAAAACAAGCATTTTTCTAGTTTCATGACAATAACTTGTGTGCAAGTCTTATGGATCTCTCTGACATTGTATCACAAGGTTCCATATCACAAAGGGAATGCTGGGATTGAATTTGGGGGTAATTGCCTCCAAATTTTAGGAATTAGGGGCCATAAAGGGGCAAAAAACAAGCATTTTTCTAGTTTCATGGCAATAACTTGTGTGTAAGTGTATGGATCTTTATGAAATTGTACTACAAGGTTCCATATCACAAGGGAAAGCTGGAATTGAGTTTGGGGGTAATTGCCCAAAAAATTTAGGAATAAGGGGCCAAAAATAAGCATTTTTCTAGTTTCCAGACAATAACTTGTGTTCAAGTGTATGGATCTCTCTGAAATTGTACTGCAAGGTACCATACCACAAAGGGAATGCTGGGATTGATTTTGGGGGTAATTGCCTCCAAATTTTAGGAATAAGGGGCCAAAAAGGGGCAAAAAACAAGCATTTTTCTAGTTTCATGACAATAACTTGTGTGTAAGTCTATGGATCTCTCTGACATTGTATCACATGGTTCCATATCACAAAGGGAATGCTGGGATTGATTTTGGGGGTAATTGCCTCCAAATTTTAGGAATTAGGGGCCAAAAAGAGGCAAAAAACAAGCATTTTTCTAGTTTCATGGCAATAACTTGTGTGTAAGTGTATGGATCTTTATGAAATTGTACTACAAGGTTCCATATCACAAAGGGAAAGCTGGGTTTGAGTTTGGGGGTAATTGCCCTAAACGTTTAGGAATTTGGGACCAAAAAGGGGCAAAAAAACAAGCATTTTTCTAGTTTCCAGACAATAACATGTGTTCAAGTGTATGGATCTCTCTGAAATTGTACTGCAAGGTACCATACCACAAAGGGAAGGCTGGGATTGAGTTTTGGGGTGATGAATCATAAGGGGGTTCAAAAAATTTGGGGGGGGGGATTCTTTTCCCTTTTTTTTCTTTAAAATTTTCCATTTTAAATTGGTTATTTCTGATTTATATATAAAAGCAAATAATAATGATATGGTTTGAATAGGTAAATTAATTTTTTTAAGTATCTTAGACCACTTTCATTCTATGTCAGAAACCTACAATGTATGCTGTGTCAAATATTTAATTACAATCCAAATTCAGTGCTGAATCAAGCTTGAATGTTGTGTTCATACTTGCCCCAACTGTTCAGGGTTCGACCTCTGCGGTCGTATCAAGCTGTGCCCCAGCGGAGCATTTTATTTCATTCATAAATTACTTTATGCTTGGAAATATAATTTTGCTTGGAGTTGAAAGAGTTGACATGTTGCAATGTACATTTACTCTACATAGTTCTATGGTACCAAATCAAAAGTTTATATAAAGAAAGAAGTCAAAGGTTTCCCATCATAGTTTAGTTACATACATTTTTTTTTGTACCTGAGGTCATTGAATATAGATCATTATATAAATAAGGAGATGTGTTATGATTGCCAATGAAAAAACTAAGGATTTTCTTATCCAAGGAATAGATTACCTTAGCCGTATTTGGCACAACTTTTTGGAATTTTGGGTCCTCAATGCTCTTCAACTTTGTACTTGTTTGGCTTTGTTACTATTTTGATCTGAACGTCACTGATGAGTCTTATGTAGACGAAACACACGTCTGGCGTATTAAATTATAATCCTGGTACCTTTGATAACTAATTTGACTATAAACATAGATAAAAAAGGTACAAACTGGACATAATGCACTAGTTCATAAACAAGTGAGAACAATCGCCTTCATATAGTGCTCAGAATATGACATTCATAAAACTTATTCAATATCATTAGAGAACTCTAAATCTTAAATACTGAAAGCTACCTCTGATAAGTACACTGTACTATGCAAGATAATGATATAACTGGACTTAAAATACACACAACCTGTAATTAACTGCCTTTACAGCGCTTTCGTGCTTTGATCACTGACCCACCCACCCCCCCTCTTAACTTAATTTGGGATTGATTGACCAATATGGATTTATGTAAAATCGATTTTGGATAAACAAAACTTGCAGCAACTTTAACCCCACCCCCAGCCCCAAACTATTTGATTTAAGTTTTTTTATCCTACATTGGTCTTTTGATGGCGTCCCTTAGAATGTGCTGACTTTGTACATGTTGTAGTGATAGTTATGGCACCCATACAACATATAGGAATCAGTCAAAAGGAGAGAAAAATTCCCGAAATTTGTCACATAGTGACATTTGTGAGTCGGAATAACAACATATAGACTCATTAATCTCTCCATCTTTTCAAAAATTATGAACCAGATTTTATGCATATCCATTTAGTTTTTGACGGACTCTTTTAAGTCAGAACATGATTTGACCTGTTTGAGTCAATTTGCAGAACAAAATTTCCAATCAAAGCTATGTGTTCTTCCTCTTAGCCCCCTTCTTAATCTGCTACTGTTGAGTTTATTAATTAATTTTTCCATACATTATCATTAATATCAAATGGCAATGCCTGACTTAATAATTTCAATAAATTTAGTTTTTGACTGATTTTTTAAAGTCAGAACATAATTTGACCTGTTTAAGTCAATTTGTCAGAACATAATTTGACCTGTTCAAGTCAGTTTGCAGAACAAAATTTCCAATTAAAGCTAGGTGTACTTCCTTTAAGCCCTGCTTCTGAATCTGCCATTTTTGAGTTTATTATTTGATAAATTTTTAGAAACAATTAAGTCAAATGGTTATTTATTTTAGGGGATCTTACATATATTTCCTATGTCTTTTATCTGACGTTCTCATACATTCATTAATATCATATGGAAGTGTCCAACTTTAAAATTTCAATAAACTTAGTTTTGGACTGACTGTTTTAAGTCAGAACATGATTTGACCTGTTTAAAACAAAATACATATAATATTGAATATACCAAATAAACTTTTTTATAGTCCTCATTATTGTGACTTTAGGGGACCTTATTTCCTCTGTCTTTTATCTGGCTTTCCCATACATTTTTAAATCAATATGACAATACTAGACTTAAAAGTTGTATTAATAAGTTTAGTTTTGTTTGACTTTTTGAAAGCAGAACATGATTTGACCTGTTAAAGTCAGTTTACAGAACAAAATTTCCAATCAAAGCTAGGTGTTCTTCCTCTAAGCCCCCCCCCCCCCCCCCTAAATATGAAGCTGCTACTGTTGAGTTAATTAATTGATAAGTTTTTTTAGAAACAATTCAGCCAAATGGTTATTAAAATATTATTTTTTTTGGCAACCACAAGTTCTATGTGTAAACTTAACAGAAAAGAAAAAGTCGATGAAAATACAGAAATAGAATAAAATTTTAAGATAATTTGATGAAACTTGCAAACAAAATACATTTGAATATTACATATACCAAACAAACTTTTTTATAGTCCTCATTATTGTGACTTTATTATTGGGTGTCTTTTATCTGTTTTTCCCATACATTCTTAAATGCATATGACAATGCCAGACTTAGAAGTTGCAATAATTAGTTAAAGTATAGTTTTTGACTGACTCTTTGAAGTCAGAACATAATTTGACCTGTTTAAAACAAAATACATTTAAATAAATAAACTTTTTTATATAATCCTCATTATTGTGACTTTAGGGGACCTTATTTCCTCTGTTTTTTATCTGGCTCTCCCATACATTTTTAAATCAATATGACAATACTAGACTTAAAAGTTGTAATAAGTTTAGTTTTGACTGACTCTTTGAGGTCAGAACATGATTTGACCTGTTAAAGTCAGTTTACAGAACAAAATTTCCAATCAAAGCTAGGTGTACTTCCTTTAATCCAAGAAAGTCCTTGCTTTCAGACTGCTTCTGAATCTGCCATTTTCGAGTTTATTATTTGATAACTTTTTAGAAACAATTAAGTCAAATGGTTATTTATTTTAGGGGATCTTAACATATATTTCCTGTGTCTTTTATCTGACGTTCCCATACATTCATTTAATATCATATGGCAATGCCCGGCTTAAATATTTCAATAAATTTATTTTAGTTTTGGACTGACTCTTTTAAGTCAGAACATGATTTTACCTGTTTAAAACAAAATACATTTAATTGAATATACCAAATAAACTTTTTTATAGTCCTCATTATTGTGACTTATGGGGACCTAATTTCCTCAGTCTTTTATCTGGCTTACCTATACATTTTTAAATCAATATGACAATACTAGACTTAAAAGTTGTAATACGTTTAGTAAGTCAGAACATAATGTGACTTGTTTGAGTCAGTTTGCACAACAGTATTTACCTCAATGAAATATTAAAATAATAAATGTTTTGCTCTTAATACATTTAGCTTAAAGTGGATGTGAATATATCTTTTATTAACATAGTCTTATCATGAATAAGTGTCTTGTTTTTCCTTGGAAGATTTGAAGTATTGTCATGGTACTAGTGAATGTATCCAATATTGTATTTTGTAAATCTTTTGATAATCAGAAAATTGTATGATCCATTTTTTCTCACCTGGTTTTTCTTTGTATTTTGAAATAATTGAAAGTGATGAGATAAATATATTATGTTTAGATTCTGGAAAGGAGAAGGTTTGATGTCAGATGAGCCCCACTTTTTAAAACTCTTTAATTCGAAACTAGTAATCACCATATTTTTATGGAGATTGATAACAAAGTGGTAGTAATGACTGCTTCAAATCAGAACAAAAATGACCTCTAGAAGTCAAAATGCATTAAAAAGGGGCATAAATCTTATTAGAATATGAAGATATTAAGTCACAATATTTTGTGCAAAAGCTGACCTGTGGAAGTCATTTTATGATAAATTAAAGTCTGACATAAACTGACCTGTACAAGTCATATTCTGTTGAGTGCAAGAAGGGAGACAACACTTACATCAAATTATATCTGACCTATGGAAGTCATTTTATTCTGACTTGTTTATGTCAGAGCTCTGACTATAGGACATCTGATATAATTTATAAGATATCTTATAAAACAATTTTATAAGATCTCTTATTGTCCCCCACCGGAGGGTTTCTGGACTGTTACTTTTGAACACCTTCATATTATTTCTTCAAACTTACACAGTTGAATGTTATTAGGTAAGGAAGATCCCTATTGATTTTGATGTTTCTAGTCATTCAAAGGTCAAGGTCACAAGTGCTTTATGGAAATATTATATTTTAGCACCAGTGGGGGACCCCGGAGCCTCCTCTTGTTTAGTTTATAAGATATCTTATTTATTGTTTTAGATATCTCATAAATTAGATATAAGATATTTCTTTTAACTTTATTTGATATCTTATCTTTTTATTCAGACATAGGAGCCCTATAGTAATCAGCTTTCCGTCTGTCCGTCACAAACAGTTTTCACAAAATAAATCAAAAAGGCTATCACAAATCAATGTGAAAGTTTGATGGCTACCTATCAAAAAGCAGGGATATCACTAGTGAGCAATGACTCACAGCACATCTTGTTTTATATTGTGTCTATCAGAATTCATTTAGTATCCAATCTTTTGTAGGCACTTGATAAAATACCAAGGAAGCGTTACAGGGTGAAGGTTGTTGACACAATTCTTGATTTAGATGTAACCAAGAATAAGGAAACAATAACCAATATTACAAGTTTTTAAAACTTTAGATTTAAGAGCAGTCATTTGAGGATGTGGCAGACATACAATATTGATGAAGGTATTACTTTTATATTCAACATAAAGAAAAAAACAGATTACAAATAACATATAGTTTTAAACATAACACAACCACTGAAAATACAGGGTCTGGCTTGTACACAGGTGGGTAAAAGAAGTCTATAAGTACTCAACCCTCCTCCGAAATCCTGGTTCAGAGGTTAAAAGTATATAAAGACAATTAAAAGCAATACCAATACTAAATTCAATAAGCTCAGCACTTCATCTTAAAACATAAAAAATTAAATCATCTTAATAAAAAGGTTGCATTAAGCCTATTGATAAAAAGACCACAAACTCCTAGACTAGAATGGATGCTATAAAAATTCACGTAATTTTATATCATAACGACATAAAAAATCTATAGAGTTTATGATATTGAAGTTGGTTATTTTTTTTAAACTTCCATATTGATCAATTTAACAAACAATAAAATGAATACAGGTTCTTTAATTACAATTTTCATTTCAGGAAAGCTTGTGACTTTAAAATCAACAAAGAATTCTGTGCAGTTAAAAGTACTCAATGACTGGACAGAGATGTCTTTTAATGACCTCATTACTGAAGGTAATTTTATAATTATTTCATTTACTAACTGTCATGTACAAAACTTAAGCACACTTGTAAGACAATGATCATTATGATATTTTGTCACAACAACCGAGAAAACCAACACAAAACTCAATAAACATTGTTATGCATCATTTAAATTCCCTGCTTGTGGGTTACAGGATTATGGGTATTGACAGAATCTTATTATAGATAATCAGGCTGTCCATTGTTGAAAGAGAAATTTATACATGTATCGTTGTCCTTTTTAGGTCACCTGGCCCATTTTGAGTCCGTCTGGCATAAACTTTTTCAAAAATCTTCTGATACAACTGGGCCAATTGGAACTGAACTTGGTTAATGTAGTAAATTTGAATTTTTCTATTTTTTTGGGAAACAATTTTTATTTTATTTTATTTTTTTTTTTAGGAACAGAGCAGGCTTCAAAACAACAGAAGCAGACATTCATTTGTTCTATGGATGGCTGCATTCAAGAGTTCAAGAACCAGATTAGTCTTGATCAACACCTCCTTCAAGTCAGCTGTGAATATAAGCTAGAGAAAGGCCCATTAAAAGATCAGGCAAAAGTTCTATATGCCCAAGAGCTGTCAAATAATGTACATCATTGTCCTGATATACAAGCAGTCTTACTAGAAAATGCATGTACTACAGACTTGAGTGCCAAAGAAATGTGATGGGCATTGAAAGTGAAAAAGAAAAAGATTTTCTTTAGCATCAAACAGAAAGAATTCATGACGGATTTATTTTATTATCTTGAAAGGATGCAAGAAGCAGCCATATTGGATTCAACGACATTATATTTTCCCAATAAATAGGCGAAGTAGAAAAAAAAACACCTACCTTAAACTACTTTTTAATAGCTTATATCCAAATTTGAAGCGTAAACAAAGCCGCAAAACATACTATGTTACAGTTTTACACTTGAAGTATTCATATGACGTCATGATGTTGCTATGAAGTTTATGTGCCAAAGAAGTCAACAACATTTTGTGGAATTTTTATTTTAAGCAACTATATGTCCAAATAAAAAACAGAAACAATATCTGTATTGACTATTGCATTAGAATGGATATAACTGTATTTTATTTTAAGAATTGTGGACGTAAATCTAGATTTTACTGTTGCAATTATTCGTTTACCTAGCTCTGCTACAGGTCGCTAGGTAAACTCAATTTGCGACAGTAATATCTATGTTTTATATCCAAAAAGGTTAAAATACAATACAGTTATCTCCTAAATTACCTACACATGATTGCACCAATATGAGTTTAATATAATGAAATTTGCATGTACTTAGAAGGTGTTTTACTTTATTTTAAATATTTAAGTCAGACCAGCATTTTACCCACATTGCTTTATAAATAGCAAACTTTGTTGATCTGTATCAGTTAAAAACTAATATGCACAATCAGTTCTTTCTTCCCTCTGTATTCAATTACAAAATTAAATCTTTAAAAATGTAAAGATACATACTTAATTTTAGAAAGAAAAAAAAATTGTAAAATTTTCAAAATTCGGTTACCACAACAACCATTTTTATTAAATTTCATTAAACAAAACTATTTTTCTGGACTGAAAAATTTAACTGATCAATTTTGTTAAATTGTAAGAAATTTAATGCCATCTTTGTATTGTTTAAATATGGAAATTACTTGGATCATTATTGACTTGTAGAAAAATACAATTTACAGAATTTGAAAATCTTATGTTTTTCATTCATTAAAAATATTTTTTGCAATTATTTGCCCATTGATTTTATTTTATATTCTGGAAGACCTATATTGGTTCTTTCTAAATATACCTAACATTTTACTAGGAGACGCTGCATTCAAGAAAAAATTCACTTGAATACCCTGTATTTACGCATTTTTCACTGAAATCCAAATTTGCCATTTTAGCATATCTTTACTAGCTGGTAGCAAAATAACTGATAATGGTAAAAGTAAAACATATATGAATTTCAAACAGCTTAAAGGTCAGTTATATTATATTATTCAGAAAAAAAGGATATGTTACACATAAATCAAGTACTAAACAGTGCAAAATGTTGTTTTTCCACTTTTTCAAGAGTTAAAATATGACCTTTTATGGCTAAAATCAACTTATGTGGTTTCCATGGCAACCGGAATATTCCGGAACAATTTGTTGCCTGTTATTGCCTTTAGGTATGGTACTGGCTATTATATAAAAGTTTCATCAAAATCTGAGACCATGTGTGCCAGACCCTATTAGAATTTCTTTGGTGGTTACAGAGAATTGCTCTTAATGAATAAATATAACAATTCTCGTGATTTGGCCGATTTTCACTGCAGGTATTTTTTTCAAATTCGCGCAATCGGGATTATGACGTCAGTGGATTTCCGCAAATGTGACTACATCTAAAGCGACGTCGCGAAATGTAATCGTTCTTTTTAGAAACATCGCGAAATTACAACGTTCTGATTAACAACGTCGCGAAAACAACACGATAAGTTTTGAAAACGTTATTATCTGCCCCTGCTACTGTATCGTATGCCCTTAATATGAAGCCTTTTACGGATTTAATAAAAAAAAAAACGTTGGTCTCTCTCGGTATAGATATTTTAGGTTATATTTAAACGGTATTTGGCGAAAGTGGTCATAATAATGATAAGAATATTCATAATTTGACTAGTATGCAAACTAGCACATGTCAGGGGTGCTACTTAAACATGTGATTTCATCATCACTTATTTCAGTGATTTGATAAATTCAGTTATCACCTATTTAAGTGATTTTAGTGTTTTCTTTGATCTTCAAATGCTAATTTCATTGATTTTCCATATTTTCACAATCTTTTCTATAATTTTCCTACATAAATCAATTATCCCTTTTTCTTTGTATATTAATTTCACCAGTGCGCTTGTGCAGTAAGTTAGTGCGCTAAAGCTTTTAAAAGTACCCTTGGGAATTTTTCTGTAATAAAAAATTCATTAACTACTCTAACTATCAGACAAAGATCAACAATATTAGGTAACCTGATTGGTTTTCTTTAGAGTTAGAATGATCTACATCAAGGTTATGACCAGATCTACAAACTATTCCAGTTTTTGCATATTTTAAAAAAACTGTAAAAGTGTCAGGCTTATCAAGCAAAAGACAATTTCTGCATATACATAGTTGTTTTTTTCAATGGAATTGTTGTCTTTTACCAATAAAAAAATCAAGCTTGTGGGAAAAATATCAAGAAAATGTTATAAACACTTATTAAAGTGATTACATTTTAACTTCTAAAATTACTTGTTTCAGTGATTTTAAAAAGATTTTGTGAAAATTTTTAATATTTCACAGAAAAAATCACTCGAGGGAGTGATTCTGAAATCACCTGTTTAAGTAGTACCCCTGACATGTAGCGGTCTCGGTGGAAGACCTGTAGTCAGTGATAAACGGAACATTTATTTACTCTATAAAAATTGTAAACTTGTAACATCAAAATTAACTTGGCAGATTATTATTTTCATTGTATTAATTTAAAATAATTATTTCTAAGTTTATTCAAGAGTGTCATTGTAGACAGGAAGTCTGTATAATTCTGTTTTTAAAGATTGAAATAAAAAAAAAAAAAGATTTAGAAATGAGAATTTTTTTTCATGAAATGAATTAGAAATATATGTTTTTAATTTTTACAGACCTTGACTGCTTGAGTTTATCAAAAATGTAGACATTGATCATAGAAAGCATAATTAGAATTAGTTACTGAGTAATACAATGGAGTGACATGTCAGCAAATATACAAATTATTAGGGCAACATAATTATGAATAACGTATAAAGGTAATATTCATGTCTTGGGGATAGTTTAGGATGTTCGCTCCTCTGCTTCAGCTTTTTAAAAGACTGTTATAAATTATCATTACATTGGTTGCAATGAATTACATTGATTTTCCAGTGAAATAAAAACCGATAATTTCACATGTGAAATAAACGTGGTTATTTCACTCCTCTGACGTCATACAACAATAGGCGTTGTCAAGACGTCGATAAAAATTGTGAATGCGTAGAATATAGTTCCTTACATTTTCTACTTTAATTTCATAAAAAAAAAGCCATTTGCCAATGTAATAAAAAGAATAACTAATCAAAGAATTCAAATATCGAAAAATATTCAACTCGTGACCGAACAACACTGATAATTAACTCATGCGCTACACGCATTCGTGAATTAATGTGTTGTTCGGTCGGTCACTCGTTGAATATTTTTCTCTATTTGAATTCTTCGATTAGTTATTCTATAAATAGTATATAAATAATGGAACTTAAAAAGCAGAAAAAAATGAAAGGTCTGTTTCCTGGTTTTTGAGAAATAATCAACTGAAATTTTGGCGGGAAATGATTGATTTCTCTCTAGACTTTTCATACAATTAATATTGGCACTTTTTTTCTTTCATATACTATGAAAAAATAACAAGCATTTTATAAAATATTTAAAAATGGCTTTTAAAACTATATTTTATAAAATAATGAAAAAGAAAAGTAGGGGGTTAGCGGGCAAAATTTTTATTAACACTAGATGGATAAAACTTGAGGATTCCGAATATCTGACAAAAGGTCAAAAACAAGAGTAGCGAACATCCTTCACTATGTTACTGATACAGTTTTCTGTTGAACCGAAACCATTCAAATTGCTTCATATCATTGGCCTGTACATTTAAAGGTTTCTACATCATAAATTTTGTTTATAATTATTGTTTTTTTGCATGGCAGAGCTAAAGGGGAGCGATATATGCTATTTTTTATACTAAAATAGCAAGCATTTATAGAATTCGAGCCCTACAGATCCTTCCAACTCTGTAGCTCTTGCTTCTTTTGTTTAAATTTCACTACTAATAAATTATTGAATTTCAGGTAGATAACCGTTTTTTCTGGACCAGTGGATTTACAGCCGCTGATAAAAATAGAGATACCACTTATTACTGGGTATGGGGAAATTATAAAGAAGTTAGTTACACAAATTGGGCAATAGGCGAGCCGAACGATAAAGGATACGTTTGTTTAGCCGTCAACAGATGGAATGGAAAGTGGAGTGACGAAAATTGCCACGAAAAATTCAATGTCGTCTGCGAGAAATATTTAAATAGATGATGTGTTTTCATCTAACATTAAAACTCACAAATAATTAACTACACGTGTTTTGCTTATACTACTTTTTATTAATATTCATGATCAACCAGATTTACCTTCTTTTTTTGTGAATGAATACAACCATGTATGTCGCTTGGTATTATATTTCGACTTTATTTGGAAATCATGTCATTTAAACTTGAATATGTGGACAGTACTTAGTCTATAGCTAGTGATACACAAATAAAAATTGAATCAACATTACAAAAAAAAAAGAAATATTGCGAAAATTAAAGGCAACATTGCAAAACTTAAAGCAACATTACAAAAATAAAAGCAACATTACAAAACTTAAAACAACATTGCAAAACTTAAGGGAATACAGAACACTTTAAAAGGGAGCTTATTCTTTAAAAATCAGCTGAACGTTTTAATCACATACTAATAACTATTAGTAAAAGACAAATCAAGTTTCTCAGTGATCAAAATTAGTGTTTGTCAAACTGCTATATACCCATTGAAATAAATCAAGTAAATTGTGTAGTTCAAATTTTTTTTTTTTTGGGGGGGGGGGGGGGATTAAGTGTTAGCCCTATCCGTATGTTCGTCTATACCGTACGTACGTCCCAAAATTAGTTTCCGTTCCCTAACTTTAGTTTACCTCAACCAAATGTTATGAAACTTGCACATAATGCTTATTACCACAAAACACAGATCAAGTTTTAATTTGGGTTTTATAAATTGAAAAATTCAGTGTTTCCGTTCTTTTATTTCAGTTTGCCTCAACCCAATGTTATGAAACTTATACACAATGCATATGTTATATGCAATCGGGGGCATCATATGTGTCCCATGGACACATTCTCCATTTATTTATATTTTTGTCAACAGGTCAAAGTAAATATTTTGTCAAAATTTGATGAAAATAAAACAAGCCAAATCTATTTTAGTCAAAGTGTTGGGTACCGCCTTAAAGTAAAATTACAAAAATCAAAGCAATATTTCAAAAACTTGAAAGCAACATTACAAAACTTAAAGAAACTTTACTTTGGTATAGTATAGTTTTAGACAATATACGTATAGTGTCTTGAAATATGAAATTTATTTGTATGAGGCTAAGAAACGGGGGGAAATGCGAGGTTTACCGAGCATTTCCCCCTGTTTCGTGCCGAATACAAATAAATTTCATATTTCAAGACACTATACGTATATTGTCTTTATACTTCAATCGATAAAAAATATAAATAATAAAATAAAATACGTAACAAACTTATTGTTAAAAAAAAGTGTTTGGAATTTCCCTCTTGGGGTACCATTGTTGGGTATTTCCCTATAAGCGTAGTAACTCATAAAGTCCAGGCGATAAGACATTGACATTTTTAGGAATTAGAAAGAGAAAATAAACTAATTTAATAATATTTAATAAATATGGTATGTAAATTACGAATTTCAAGACATAACAAGTTTAAATTTACAAAAGTTTGACAATTGTTACTACACGTTGTCATGGTTGTGACGTGACGTTGTTGATGAAATACAGTAGTTCCGGTAAGTAGGCGTGGCTAATAGGTTAGTTGAGGTCATTGACGTATAAAGCTAACGTTTATACGTATAGCTTTATCTGTATAGTAAAATAGCTGATTGCAGTATAAAAATATTTAGACTGTTTTTTAGGGTGTAGTTGTATTTTTATATTACGTTGTTTACGTACAACATATATCACGCATACTCTTTTCCTTTGTACCATTGGCACTCAGTAGGTCATGTAAATAAAGTTAAACTACACATATTATATAAAGATAAGGAGATATGGTATAACTGCGAATGGGACAACTATCCACTAAAGTTCAAATGACGAAGACATAAGCCATCATAGGTCACCCTACGGCCTTCATCAATGAGAAAACCCCATACTGTACTAACAGTCAAATTTATAACAATACAATTTACGAAAAACACATGTCACAAGACATGAATCAACGACATCCACTGGATTACAGGCTTGTGTATAAAAAATGTGGCGGTGTTAAATATGTTTATGAGCGCTTAGCCCCTCTAACCTGGGACAGTGATGTAACAACACAACATAAGGACATACTTTAAAATTCAGGTGCAAAAGACTTAACTCAATAGATCGGTACTAGGCACAAAAACCGTTAACATAAAGGAACAGTTTACACAAAGCATCGATATAAATATACTCATAGTTAATGAAAACTAGATCAAAAGCCAATTACAACTAATAGATAAATCATGTTCTCAGAGACTAAAGTATCAATACGTACACATTTAATGGATTTAGTACAAAGAAGACGTCATATACAGTCTGAGAAATGCATGGCCTTGTGCACTGCCAAAATATAATTAAACAGTATTGACAGGATGTAGGATTATGAGTACTAAAAATTGTACCTATATATCAACATATATATAGTTATGTTTTAATTTTTCATATTTTAACATGTTAGCAACGATAAAAACAAGATTTTACTACTGTGTTAAATTGACAACCATTAAGAATAAGTTTATTCAAAAGTTGAATGAGTTTACATTGATCGTATCTAAGTTTACAGGTTCTAGATACAACATCGCCGTACAAATAAGGATGTGTTCACTTAAAAGGTAAACACTTTTTTATCTGTAAACAAGGAAAAATGGTACCTTCTTGAAGCGAGGACTTAAGTGTTAATGGATATCCTAAAATGTTATATGTAATGTGTCATAAAATGAAATAAAAATAATACATTACAAATTGGCAACCCTAGAACTTTATTGATGATCAATGTCAACCAGATAAGAATATTAATTTGGTAACTACAGCGACTAAATATCCGATGTGATGTAACTATAGGATAACAATGTCAAACAAGACGTGTTGGAACTAAAATGGGGCGTTTTTGTGGGCAACAATCTTCTCCAAAATCATTCGGAATTTCCTTCACCTGCATATATATATATATATATTTGATTGATACATGTTGTAGAAAAATATCTGCCACAAAGTTGGTCATTCGGTACAAAAAGCGTCAATTTTAACGATTTTTTGTCTTATTTCTTGACCTGGAAGACCGAGGAATGCTGATAAAAGTATCTCACTGTAGTCTGCATGTAGAGTGGACCCCAGTGAACACATTGACCCCATAAGTACTGAATTTGGAGTAAACTTGATCTAAGTATGGTAGCCTACAGAATGTTATTTCCACCAAAAATCCGGAATTTTCCGATTTTTCCCGATTTTTAGGTAGCAATAAACAGTTAGGAAAAAATATTAAAATTTTCCCTCATAAATTTTACCATCCCCTTTTCATTGCCTAAAACGAGTAAAATGGCCTTTTATTTTTCAAAATTGGTTGAGTAATGAATATTTTATGAAGGTTAGCAGTTGACACTGAAACGCGACAAAAACTGATTTAAAGAAAGGTGCCAAGTCAAAGTGTAAAATCTTGTTTCCACCTCAATTTTTGGCAAAATCTTAAAGACTATACCTCTTTTGTCAGTTTTTTAATGTTGAAAATCTTTATAAGACCTCTGATGATGCAAAGTTGTACAAAATTTAACAATTTCAAGCATGAAAATGTTAATCTTTATGTTTAATGTATACCAAAGACTTGATTAGAAAACTTGGTAATGGGGAATCAATTTCTTACAGCTGAATCAACTATACATTTAATATATGTCAAAATGTAACATGAAATCTTGATAAAAATAATAATTTGATATGCATGTATTCGCAAGAAAAAATACAAAACATTCAATACTTAGGCTACTACATACTCCGCAATCCTTCAGAAGCAAGGGTTAAGCAAATAGAGTACAATTATAAGCCTAGTGTCAAAATGTCTAATTTTGGTTGCTAAGGACTGTAAACAATAAAATTGACATGTATTGTCATTCTTGAACACTTAATCCCTTCAGAAGTTGATTTAGAATCTAAATATCAATAGATTTGTGGTATGAAAAGTCTTAAATTATACAATTCTGAGCTTGGTAAGTATGCCATAAGGTAGCAATAAACAGTTAGGAAAAAATATTAAAATTTTCCCTCATAAATTTTACCATCCCATTTTCATTGCCTTCTTGCAATATTAAGCTTACTGTTTGTGTCATATATGTGCATATGTATGTAATCAGAATCTTCCATAGATTTCATATCCAGTATATAAAATAGTAAAATATAATTTCTTTTTGGTGTATCCATGGCAACAATCTGCATTTTTTTGTTATAAAATATAGCAAAAAGGGGGGAAAAGATGTCACATATTTCCCCAAAATTTGACCAAAAGTAGAATTTCAATCACTTCAAGTAATACCTTTACGAAACTGTTTACATATATCTTTCAATAAATCCAATGAAAATCATGTCTTTCGTCTCATTTTTTTGTAAAATTGCGTCAAAAACTTCGTGTAGACTGTGCACTGGCTACAGTTACATGGACATGTAACAATAATAAAAATATTATTGTTACATTGGAGACTAAATGCCGGAATGCATGGTTGGGTAAGGACCTGATTAATTACGAATGTAACAATAATTATTGAGGCTACGGTTACATTGCGTTATTGTTACATGAAAAACAGCAATGTACGATGGGACTAGTAATATATGTACTAAATAATAAAAGTTGAAGACATTTATTTTATATTTACAATACATACAATTATTACATACAATTTCTTTAATTTTTTATTTACAATGACATTTTTTACATATCCAGTAAGTGTTTTTTTGGAAATTGGATCATGTTTAAGTCCGACACATTTCTGATGAAACCACTCCAAGCAGACATCACACACCAGTGATGCCGCATTGTGAACGTCCGTATCGCATACCGTGCAGTTCCATTCTGCGATATCCCTTTTAGAAGATAAGGCAACCTTTAATGTTTGCCATGCTTCTGGTGAGAAATACTTATTTACTCTAGCAATGTTGATATTCTCATCCAATACTACATTCATTAAACTAGCAATGCAAAATAGCAAATATGTCGTTGGAAGAAAGAAAAAAAAAACGTTGGACACTTGGTCTGTGTCAATTTAAACTTTAATTTTATAACACAAATGTAATTTAAATCTCGCATGGATATTATAACCCATTGATATTCGTATATAGG